AGAGAGAGGGGTTCAAGTTCGGAAGAGGGAAATATTTTCCACAAACAAACAGAAGCACAAACAATAACAACAAGCACAACGCAAGCCTATATATAAAGCATAAAAATATCCTTGAGAAACGGTACAAAACAACATACTAAAAGAGATAACTAACCAATAGCATTTAAGTTCCTCCCAAGCGGGAAATATAAAATGAAGGTGAAAATGGATATTTCTGGAGCGAAAGCGGCAAATTCAAATTTTTAAAATAGAATTACAAAAATAAGACATTTACCAAATGCATTCTGGGAATCTAACGTCCCCAACAATAATGATGCCTATAAACGAAGTTAAAGGTAACATAAAACTGGGCAATAAATTTGCAATTAATTACCAATAGTCTGAAATGATACAACGTATAACGACAAATCAGTTAAACCTAAACAAGTATGATATTAGTTATACCTCAGTGATAAAACAAAGTAATTTATTAATAATAATGGGAAGATACAAGCCAAACAATACCAAGTGAATTTAAATATGTGTTTATTCAGCTTCAAACTTATCAATAACAAAAAAGGAACTCAATCAAGTCAATCACTTAATACTCTTTTGATAACAAGAACAGAAACAGTTGCACAGTGGAATGTATTAAAACGGGGAAAAATATGTGTAAGACATTGTTAACAAGAGATAATTCCGAAAACAAAGAAATACCTGATCTTCATTATTTGATACTTTGTTGTTTTGTAGGCAGACAGGTTATTATGAATTAAATATTATCCTGACTGGTTAAAAATATAGGTACTATGTTATAAGTACAATCGATTCACCAAGCAAACCATAATAAACTTAATAAGACAATTAATTTTTAAAGATATATGTTGTAAGTTAGAGAGAAGTGTAGGCTTGTGTAAATGGACTATTTCGATTAGTCTGATTACCTACCTATGAATGCACTTTACCCTGTAAGCAGTATTCATTCATGTGCTGTAAATTTCCACTTACTGTCTTTTTCTTCCAGGTAGTTAGGGTGTATTCATGACTGAATTAAACCATATATCATATCATTTATACAGATTTATAAATCATATCTATGTATTCTGAAAAGAACATTTGTTCTATGGAAGAAGAGAGTTTCCATAGGTTATTTCTGAATTAGGAGAACTAATCAATTATATGGTTGTTTTGAGGAGCTGAGTAAGACGAGATTGAGAAAGTTACTCAATGATACTAATCATACTTTATCGTGAATTGACTGGAATTTACAAAAACTATGGACCAATTACTTACTTACTTACGCCTGTTACTCCTCGTGAAGGAGCATAGGCCGCTCACCAGCATTCTCCATCCAACCCTGTTCTAAGCAATCCTTTCTAGCTCCGTCCAGTTGTAATTCATCCTTTTCATATCTGCTTCTATTATCCGACGCAATGTGTTCTTTGGCCTTCCTCTTTTTCACCTCCCTTCAGGATTCCACGTTAGGGCTTGTCTCATGATGCAGTTTGACGATTTGCGTAATGTATGTCCTATCCATTTCCATCGTCTTTTCCTAATTTCCTCTTCAGCTGGAACCTGGTTTGTTCTCTCCCATAGAAGGCTATTGCTGATGGTATCCGGCCAATGGATGTTTAGTATCTTGCGTAGACAGCTATTTATAAATACTTGTACTTTCCTGATTGTGGTTGTTGTAGTTCTCGAAGTTTCGGCTCCATACAATAGAACTGCCTTGACGTTCGTATTGAAGATTCTCACTTTGATATTGGTTGAAAGTTGTTTTGAGTTCTATATGTTCTTCAATTGTAGGAACGCGACCCTTGCTTTGCCGATCCTCGCCTTTGCGTCTGCATCTGAACCTCCTTGTTCATCGATGATACTTCCCATGTATGTGAAGGATTCTACATCTTCCAGAAATTCGCCATCAAGAGTGATTGGATTGCTGTTTTTCCGCTTTGAATTTGCGGACCTTGGTTTTCCCTTTGTGTATGTTGAGGCCTACTGATGCAGAGACTGCTGCTACACTGGCTGTCTTCATCTGCATCTGTTCGTGTGTACGTGATAGGAGGGCTAGGTCATCTGCGAAGTCCAAATCGTCTAACTGGTTCTGAGCTGTCCATTGACTAAATGACATCACAATCATAGGGGACTTAGTAAAAGAGTGTTGCTCTATAGTAAGATACATCCGTTATGTCCACTTTATGTAAAACGAATTCTAAAGAATGTGATCATAATTTGAAGAGACGACGTGAAAACTTGTTTCATAATTAATCAATTTTTAAACGTTACATTTGGCACTCACACCTACACATATAGTAATTATTATTATTACTATCAGTAATAGTAGTAGAAATGGTCGTTAGACAGACAGGTCATCTATCAAATGAAAGGAATTAGTTAGAATGATGAAAAATTCAAGTAGTACTTATTATCGATCAGTTGAAATCATGTGCCAACGCGAATAGATTAAATAAATATTGGAAATGTGTATTAAAAATGCGTGACCGTTAAACAAGCAACAACAATATCAGCGAAAAAGAAGAGAGAGCCAAGAAAAAAAAACTGGCTAAACTGAAATCAGTGAGTAATAGAGAAAAAAAAACAAGCTAACAATTAATTCAACATTAATATCGTATTGTTCTTTTCTTAACAGAAATATTTGGCCCATTTTTCAAATCACTGAACTGTATAGTTCATTCGTCAGAGTATAGTTGTAATAAGAACAAATGCTTGATTGAATACGGTATCTATTCAGTGACTTTCAAGTTTCAGAATGAATACAATAACATACAGGAATCAAACACTTGTCCATCCTAAAATAACACTACGAATTACAGGGATGAGATGGTATCTTAAGTGTGAAATCAAATCAAGTTGTATAGTTTAGTTTGGTCGAGTGGATTGACCCTATAATGGTGAATGTTATATCTGGACGAAGAATAAGTGAATAGTAACTTCTAAGATCTATTTATGAACTGTTATTATATATATTATTATTGTATAACCATTAACTGACTATATATATATTCCTCTTATTATAAACTTCCATATGACCTACTGTACGACTTATCATTCCCAATTTATTAGTTACAGTCTCTCACAATCACAGCCACTTTTTGGTCTGATTTTGTGTAATTATTATTTTCTACTTTATGCTGTGATGAGGTCTGATCTGCTTGTATATAAACCAAGTATGTCTGAAATACATGATTCATATAACAGAGAATGATATTGGTATTCTGAACCGAACCGGATGGGTTAGGCAATCGGGTACTATCTCGGAGATCCAATAAGAATTCAGAATGACTCTAGTCTGTTCGTACTGGTTTATGCATCATTGGTCTGGTCAGTAAGTCGGTGTTCTAATTGGCGATCGTATCACGTGCTAATTAACAGGACAAAAGGACATGACAATGAATAGATTACAATGAGTGATAAGAATGGATAACGAGTCCGGACTTTTGCATCAGTCAAGGTTAAAATACGTTTCAAACATGTCACTTTTCAATTTAAAAAGTCGTTTAACAAAATGGGCAAGAAAAATTATTGTATAGTATTGAATTACAATCAAGGTAGTGAAATAAATCTTGTGAATAAAATGTACAGTAAGGGAAATGTTGATAATGACAATAATAATTCAGTCCTGTGAAACAAATATGTAATAAGAGAAATGTAATTGAAATAAGAAATTCACGTAAATTGAGAAACGCGAAGTTGGTAATGAAAGACGAGATGGAAAGATGAATATAAAGAAGATTAAGGGTTTATTATATGGTTTAAGTATGGAATGACAACCGCAGACCACGGGAAGCAGAATATATCTCTTCCAAATAGATCATAACAGTTTTTAAGAGTTAATTCTGACGGCTTTCGCTTTGTAGAGAAGCCATAATTTTGCTCCTTTAGGTGAAATTTCCGGGACTTGATACGGAACCGGGAAGGCTTCAACCATTTCGAAGTGGTATTCTCCATCTACCAAGTGAGAAACTATTATGCTATTGATCGACTTGGTGACTTTTTCCCTAACCACTCCGGCTCTCTGAGTACGGCCTAATTAACTAGCTCCACAAAACCAGTTAGATTGGTATACACACATGGAACAATTCATCATCGGTACCCTATCCTTGGTTCGTTGCGCAAGTGCTGGCTTAGTTGACAAATTCATATACACGTTAGCGTCGTAAAACATCTTTTCAGTAGATCTTCTAAGTCGTTGTGTTAAAATATCACCAGCCATATCCCCTTTAAACTATTATTTCATAGACCAGGTTTCCCATAGTGGTTCAGCTTCAATCGACTCATGAATTCAATTATTAAAATTACTACAATCTCCACAAATCCCCATTTTGATAATAATCATCATATACTCACTAGTGACTGGCTTCAAGATATATTCCCTAGATTACTAGTGAGAAGCCTTGATCAGTGGAGTTCAATCGTGTCTGTTGTGAGGCAGTGACTCACTGAAGACAATCATTGACAGTGGAACAATATCGTGGATTGTTTGAAGTTAGACACTAACATCGTTGGATGCTGGCTCAGTGGTCTAGAGTTTAATCATCCACACACGAGACCTAAGGTTCTGGTTTCGAGTTCCACATGTAGGGTCGTGAATGCGCATTGTTAAGGAGTCTCACACTAAGACGGAACGACCGTTTAATGCTTCTAAGTTTTCCATGATGATCTAACGTTAATCCATTCATGAATTCAACTATTAGATTAAAAAGTTGTTTAGTTTAAGAACTAAACTGATAAAAAATGTAACACATATTTATGAATTTAATTTATGAAATTTATGAAATTAATTTATATACAAATAACATTATTCACTTTCAAGTAATTATCCTTTCAGTAAACATATTTAATTTGGATTATTCTAAAATAATGCTTCCATTTCTACACACACACACACACACACACACACACTATCAAGTACATTAGTGTATGCATTAGTGAGCATAAACTAAACGTCATTCGATCACTAGTAATTAAATAATAATAATAATAATAATAATAATAATAATAATAATAATAATAATAATAATAACTAGAGAATGATGTGATATGTACTTTTTCAGAAATGTATCGATTAATAATATTGATGAAAAATGGATGATTTCATCTAGACGTCACTTGGATACGTAGACTACTATATATATAGTAGTCTTGATTGAGATTGTAGGATATTGGTAAGTGGACACATTCAAACTTATGTTCAGTCAATTTTTGGCTTAGTTCAAAATAGAGTTGATAAATTACAGAAGGTAGAAATATTTAAGTGAATGATTAAATATGTATAAGATATGGATATATCTTTTGGCTAAACATAGTTACATAAGGATTTTTCAAAACAGCAGTCTAATCAGTCCGCTATATAATACGATAATTATTAGATGATTTGTTCCCGACTGGAAATATGAAAGAATGAAACCCCACGCTAATTGGCTTACACATAATATGTTTATCAAAGTTATAAACACAGTTTTTAACAGGTTTGTATTGGTCATAAATTGAAACAAGTTGGGGTGAAATTGAAAAATGAGACAGTATTGAATGGCTGTTTTTTTTGGGGGGGGGATAGAACCATTTAGTAGTGAATGTTCGTGATGTTAATCTGTGACAGGTAAAGCTGCAGATTAAACTGATGTACACTGGTAACAGGTTTCGAAATGATTTTCTAAAGTTTCAGTTAGAAGTGCTGACAATTGGAGTCCAATTATGCCCAAAGAGAAATAATCATCATCGAAAGCATATGAATAATCGTCGAACCGTATTGCGAGTTGATGTGATTCATGAGAATCTAACCCAGTGGTCTAGAAGCAAATGCTCTCTAAAAGACCAGATCACGTGTTCAACCCTTGATACGGACGACAACTAAACAAGAAACAATCGTTCAGTGCTTTCTGATTTTTAATTGTGCCCCGATTAATGGTAATCCATGACGAATACAATGTACGAATAGATAAATCCACTAGTCTAAATTTTTATACTCTTTAGACCTTCTGTTGAGTACGTAGAAAAACACGTCAAGTTATTTTGTCTGGAGCAAGTAATAAACATCAACGTTGAGTTATCTGAGGCTTTAAATATTAGGTTAAATTGGTTTATCACTTCTGACCAACAATTTACTTGTCACACTGAGCTTTTCTTATTAATCAGTGGCTGGAAACTACGTTACAGCTTAGTATTTGTAGATAACTTTGCAACTAGAATTCTAATTAAAGTTAGAACTTTATTTTAAGTAATCACAGTAATGACTGAAATTCCGTTTACAAAACGTCAATACACATTTGTGGATTGGACTGTATATACACCATGTATCACTTGGTTATATAGACTGAAGTGTAAGCAGAGTAGTAAGTGAGGTGTAGTGAGTAAAGTATCCAACTTTTGGGTTTTGCATTTGAAACCTGTTCCATGCATTTCAGTTTAAACAATTGGCTACTATTACTAGCGCTCTCCCATGGAATATGAGGTTCTAAAAGCGAGTGTATGGACAAGATATATGTACTCCGAAATTTGTTGGAAACAATGGAGGACATTTTCACTTGTAAGGGTTTGAATTATCCTGTTGTTGAAGAATCCAATTGATCGGTCTCTTTTGTATCCCAAGAAAATCGCCTCGGTAATGTCATGACATCATAAGATTTTAAGTAAAGTTGGGTAATGGCTAGCAGTAGGATCCAGTATGTACGTTTTGTTTTATTTGGGATTCGCCAACTGGATGTTGTGTCGATGTTTACATTGGGACTTGAATCAAATAACTTTCGCTCCAAACACCCAACGCGTTATCTGCTTAGTTCAGATAGATACTACTCAACTCATCGGAACAACGGAATGTACATATTAAAACCCTTTTCAAATCACAGAATTTTACAAGTTTTGCACTATTTAGAAAAGAGGAACAACGATATTGCAACATATAACAGCAAACAGTTATTGCATAATATTGACACTACTCAACTTTTCATATGACAAAATTTCTCTCCTTTAATTGTATTATACTCAGTTGGGCATCAGACAGATGATAGCAGACTTAAACAAGTAATCTGGAAACTGAAAATGAGGACAGTAAACAGGAAGACTATTTCGCTAGAAATTTTTAAGCAACTAACTAAATAAGTAGTAAGCAAAATGAAGACATTACAAATAGATACATATATGTAAATATTAGTCAAATGTTGCATAACACGTTTTCATCATACAAAACAGTAGAACATTTGCAAAAACACTGAGGTCCGCATACGCAACACATGGAAACACAAACTGATACACAAACGTATACATATATATATCAGGTATGTTCACATAAAATGAATGATGGAATGAAAATAACTCACTTATTCCTAGTACACATCTGTAACCTGAAACTGAGGTGAAAAAGGTCACCATAGTAACGGAAAGGGATAAAAAACAAGATTAGGAGAAAAAAGTAAGGGAACAAATTAAATAAAGACAGAAAGTGTCACCAATGGTAGAGAGAACACTGAAGATAACTAACTTCACAAAAGGAAGGTAGGTAATGTTTGTAAGACAATCAAATGGAAATTTGATAAAAATATATCTTATGTTGTACACATATACATGAGAGAATGTAATTTAGATTTACATCTGAATTCTAGGATTCTTTTCTTTTACAACTGGAATCAATGAACTAAAAGAAAATAGTTTTTAAATTATTTTATAATTTTTGCAAATACACAGACGTAAACATGAGAACATGGACACTTGAGAATACTGTTATTAATAGTAATAATAACAACCACTCGGTAGCATTGACTGATATCGATGAGAAAATAAAGTGTAAAACTAATTGATTAAGTATTTGGTAGATAAAAAAAGTCTACATTCACGAAAGAAATATATTCACCGTAGACAGAGATTAGACATTTAGGAAAAGAATGTATATGAGTACAAACACATACACACACATAGAGAGAGACGTAAAACAGTTGAAACTCAGACAGGAATAATTGAGTGTACATGGATGTTAATGATGAGTAGTAAACAGAAAAAAAAAGAATTGGTATGATAGGTGCAAGTGAGTGAAATATTAGTCTTGAATGTGTATGTTTATGTAAATATTATCCTTTATCTACAATGTATACAATAATAGGAAAAACGAAAAAGAAAAGAGCTGTATACAAACAGAAATTGTAAAAACGTACACACATACATACAGTCGAAACGTTTTGCTTATTTCAATTGATAGATTGATAAACAAATGCTACTTATGAAAACAAATAAGGTTGGAGATAATGAAACAATGAATTGGAATAAACCTTGTCAATATCAATAATATCACGTATCATGTTGTACAATAAATGTATGGAAATATATTGGAAGCAGTTGGTATTTATCACCGTAGTCTAATTGGTATTGAATGATGAATATTATGTTAAAGACAAACAAACAAACAAACAACAATATAGAAATTATAATGTATTATTTCTAATTTGACATACGATTTGATGGTAGCATAGTACCAGTTCGACTGACACAATAGTCATCAGTTTCATAATTGATCGGTGCTGATGAATCATTTACCGGACCCATGTTGTTGTTAGATTGAGACGATGATGGAAAACCTCTTGGACTAGATGGTGAACCAAGTAGAAGAATAGATGTTTGTGATGTAGCTGTACTTAGAGTCTCTTGTGATGCATGAGGTGCATTAACGTCTAATGGTGAAAAAATAAAACTGAATCGACTTGTATTAGGCGATGATTGATCAGATGATTGTCCATGAAAAACTATAAAGACAAAACAATTGGAAAAAGAATTTTTAATAGAAAAGTAGATGCATCTCTCTCTTTCTTTTAAATGAAATTAAAATATTAAAAAAATTATGAAAGATCTAATCAGTTAAATTACAATGAAGTTGAATAAATGTAAAGAATAATAGGAAGGTTAGGGACTTAGTGTAGTCTCAAAAAGAGATATTTACAACCCATATTGTTTAAAAGTGAATGAATGTAAATTATTTACTGAGTACAGGCTCACTTAATTAGCAGTGAATTATACAATCTATGTGGAAATTCGATAAAGTAGATTTCGAACCTGGAGGTGATTTAAACACTCAGTTACCGTTCCGCCTACAAGACAGGTAAATTCACTCTACATAGTGGTTATTGATTAGAAAACGTAGATTACTGGTATATTTTATATAAACCGTATAGAAAATAATTAGCTTGTTCATTAGCTACTTGGATATAATCCAAACTCTAAATGTGAGATCTACTTATACTACCTGTTTGCCTGAACCGAAGATCTGTTGTGCACTCTAAACACGCTTTAGAGACTGACACCATCCGACTGTTCACATTTAAGTAGGTGAAGGAAGGTTCGAAAATCGAGTTTTACCCACTAAGCAACTGATCTATTATATGCAATTGTTGAGCCGTTTCAGATGAAGAGGATATGAATCATATAGGGGTAATTTATTCCAATGAATGAATTCCTAAGTGGTGATCAAATATAAAGCATAGCAGCTCAAATCTTCAACAAACCTTGATTACTAACATGGTACACTAGTTGCTAGCTAAATTAACGATTCATATTATAAATGCTTCTGAGCCGTTTTCCTTTAAATGGAAGTATATACATTTCAGGATTCAATCAATATTTACATCAACTAATTTACTAAATACAAGTGGTTCAAATGCTTGGCTAGGAGCCGTGTTTCATATGAAGAATAATGATACTACTTGCGGTTACTTGGACTGATAAAACGGAATTAACATTTGAATCTGTCGTCTAGAAGTTGGAAGTCGTGATTTTTAAACATTAGACAGTTACTTCAATATCTACAACAGTGCCATGTTAAATTTTTATAGGTCGAACTCATGTGATAGTCTATCAGAAAATGGACACTACATGTCACTGGACATAAGATATTTGGCAAGATAGTAAGTTTTACAGTTCCACTGTAGAGTGAGTATGATATCATAACAATGACGATGGTTCATACAGCTTAGATTCAAGGGAATGTGATAGGTTTCGCAGATCATTTAGACAGTGCTTATTAGGAGAATTCCGCCTGCAGCTCTTCTAGAGCTACTGCCCGTCCCAAGCCCCGGTAAAGGAGGAGGGTTGGAGATGGGGTTGGCGACCCCATCCCGTAGAAAACTAACTCGCTTAAAAAAACGCTAACCAGAAAAAATAATTCAAACCATTTAAACTCTACCCTGGGAGTTAGAAGAACTATGACGCCTCATGGTGAATGCCGAGTTCCTTCGGAAGCCACGAGGCCGACGCCCCTTCTAACAACCAGAGCAACAATTTTTATAGGCACATGGAACGTCCGGACAATGTGGGAGACCGGGAAGATCAGTCGAATAGCAACGGAAATGAGGAGATACAACTTGGCAACACTGGGAATCAGAGAAACCCATCGGACCCATGCTGGACAACAAAGGCTAAATACGGGAAAGATGCTGCTATACTCCGGTCACGAACAGGAAAACGCTCCACACACTCAGGGAGTTGCTTTAATGCTGTCCAAAGTAACACGAAATGCACTTGTAGGATGAGAATCTCACGGATCCAAAATCATCAATGCATCACTCAAAACAAAGGAGGGGATCACAATAAATATTATCCAATGTTATGCACCCACCAATGGTAGCAATGACGACATTAAGGATAAATTCTATGAGAGGCTGCAATCAATCATACAGAAATGCCCAACAAAGGACCTCACCATTCTGATGGGAGATCTAAACGCCAAAGTTGGAATAGACAATACCAGATATGAAGACACCATGGGACGACATGGATTGGGAGAGAGAAACGAAAATGGGGAAAGATTTGCAAATCTATGTGCATTCAACAAATTGGTCATAGGCGGCATAATATTTCCAAACAAACATATACACAAAGCTACATAGATCTCACCGGACCACACCACAGAGAACCAGATAGATCATATTTGCATCAATAAAAAATTCCGAAGGACAATAGAAGACGCGGGAATCAGAAGAGGAGCTGACATAGCTTCAGATCACCATCTAGTTGTGGCCAATTTAAAACTGAAGCTAAAGAAAAACTGGACAAACATCACTACGAAGGCTTAATACAGCCTTTTTTCGAGGTACTAACAAATTCAACGAATTCAAGATAGCTCTCAACAACAGGTTCCATGCCTTACAGGATCTACTGTAGGAAGAAGAAACTACTATAGAGGACAACTGAAAAGGTATCAAAGAAGCATTATCTTCAACGTGTCAAGAGGTTCTGGGCCTCAAGAAGCATCATCATCAGAAGACAGCAATTAACAACAGCCGAACAAGAATAGAGAAAGTCTAAGCACAAGCTGATTACATAGAAGCAAACAAGCAAGTGAAGAAGAGCATTAGAGTCGAAAAGCAGAAATACGTGAAAGAACTAACAACGACGGCGGAAAAAGCTGCAAGAAAAGGAAATATGAAACAGCTTTATGATACAACGAAGAAACTAGCAGGGAAATATAGTAAACCAGAGAGATCGGTCAAGGACAAAGAAGGGAGGCCAATCACTGAAATTCAACAACAGTGAAACAGATGGGTAAAGTACTTCGAGGAACTCCTAAATAGGCCGGCTCCAACGAATCCACCGGACATCGAAGCAGCACACACAGATCTTCCTACAGACGTCAATCCACGAACGACGGAAAAAATCAGAATGACCATCAGACAAGTCAAGAGCGGGAAAGCAGAAGGACCCGACAATATACCAGCTGAAACACTGAAGTCAGACATTGAAGTGACTACAAATATGCTGCACCTTCCATTCAGGAAGATTTGAGAGGAGGAACGTGTACCGATGGACTGGAAAGAAGGACACCTCGTCATGATTCAAAAGAAAGGAGATCTGAGCAAATGTGAAAACTACAGAGGCATCACACTACTATCAGTACCAGGGAAAGTCTTTAACAGAGTGTCGCTGAACCGGATGAAAGACTCAATAGACGCCCAACTTCGAGATCTACAAGCTGGATTCCGTAGGGATCGGTCGTCCACAGACCGAATCGCGACACTACGGATCATCGTCGAACAATCAATTGAGTGAAACTCAACACTGTACATCAACTTCATTGATTATGAAAAGGCGTTTAACAGTGCAGATAAGAGAACGTTATGGAAACTTCTTCGACACTATGGAGTTCCTGAGAAGATTGTCAACATTATCCGGAACTCATATGATGGACTACAGTGCAAGGTCGTGTATGGAGGCCAGCTGACAGATGCATTTCAAGTGAGGACTGGAGGCAGACAAGGCTGTCTACTCTCTTCCTTCCTCTTTCTTCTGGTGGTCAACTGGATAATGAGGACCTCGACATCTGAGGGAAAACACGGACAGCTCAGAACCAGTTAGACGATTTGTACTTCGCAGATGACCTAGCCCTCTTATCGCATACACATGAACAATTGTAGATAAAGACACACAGTGTAGCAGCAGTCTCTGCATCAGTAGGCCTCAGCATACACAAGGAGAAAACAAAGGTCCTCAAATTCAAAACGAAGAACAGCAATCCAACCACTCTTGATGGCGAATTTCTGGAAGATGTAGAATCCTTCACATACATGGGAAGCATCATCGATGAACAAGGAGGGTCAGATGCACATGTAAAGGCGAGGATTGGCAAAGCAAGGGCCGCATTTCTATAAATGAAGAACATATGGAACTCAAAATAACTTTCAACCAGTATCAAAGTGCGAATCTTCAATACGATCGTCAAGGCAGTTCTTCACAAAAATATGTTCTTGTTTGAATCACACAAAGTCACACAATCTGATTGTTAAATAAAGAGAACTGTTCATCCAGCTACTACTAATCTTTATTATTATTACTCGGCTTAAAGAATCTATGTTTATATATATATATATAATTCAATTGGTGTCACCATCTTGAAACACCGACTTCGGTGGCTTGGACATGTTCTACGAATGTCGTCCCAGAGAATTCCACGTCGTGCATTATTTGCCGACTCTGGGACTGGTTGGAAGAAGCGGAGAGGTGGTCAGTGCATGACATGGTGTCGTGGTATGAAAGAAAGCTGCAAAGGACTGGCTTCTGTCGGTCCTTCACGACTCCCTGGTTGGGTCCGAGAGATGGTGCTACACAGTGGCTAGAGACGTTATCAGATATGGCTCAGAATAGGAGCCAGTGGCGATCCTGCTGTAACCTTCTTTTACTTTCTTCATAAAAAGTGGTTGTGTCTCCCTTAACTGAAAGATTTCTTCTGATTGTACCTTTCCGTTCCCTCATTATTACTATTATTATTACTACACTACCTTACACCAATCTCTTCCTTATTGTTCTTTTTTTACCCTCCTTACCTTTTTTTCCCTTCTCTTTAAATTCTCATTATTTTGTGTAGCGCACTCTTGTACCAATATGTATGTGTTCAAATTAATCAATTAATTAAAAATATGAAAAGAATAAGAAGTAAGAATCAAGATTTTTGAATTTTTAAGGGTAACTTATGCGTTCTTCGTGTTTTAAATTAAAGAAATAACTAATACCACAAGTATTCATGTATATATAAATTGATGGCTACAAAACAGTGTCTCATTTCATTCCTAATACATTTCCATCACTTGACTTTTGAATAGCTAAAATATCGTCTTACTTTTTCAGGGTCGCTAAAAGGTTGTCAGTAAAGTATACTTTAACTGAAATTCTAAACATATTAATTAATCTAATGACAATGTTAATGCCAAATGTCTAGTACACAATGATTATTTAAGTGTAATTTTGTAAAATATATCTTCTCTTTTCCACTTTGTATGCAAAAATTGTAAGAAACTTAGTATTATGAATTAGGGAACAATGAAAAACAAATACTTTGAAACAAAAAAGAAATCAAGTCTAGAAAAACATTCATATATTACTGACCTCCTGTTATGCAGAGGCGGCGATAAAATTGACTTTTCTTCACACACTATCACAACTACATACTACTCTCCTCTTCTCATAACGTTAGTATTGATTTCTTCTTAAGAAGATATCTAACCTACCAGTTTATCACCATTAAAAATGGTTGAATACATACATTGGAATGAATAAGTATGAACAATATTTAAAGAAAAACCAAATATAATAACTTCAACATACCTTGATTAACAAATGTTGCTTGTGCATAATTTCCCGGTGGATGTGTACTATTATTATTATTATTATCATTATTGCTATTATTACTGATATTCCTATTATCTCTTGTATGATATAGTGACGGAATGTAAGGTAATTCAATGGAACCATGTTGAGTATTATTATTATTATTAGTAGTAGTAGTAGTAGTAGCATTAATTGTTGAACGTGAAGGATTCAATAATTCTAAATTATTAGAAGCGGAAATATGTGGTTCATTTACCATAAACATAGATCCACCATTATTATTATTATTAGTAGTAGTGGTAGAATATTGTGTTCGATTTCTACTGGTGATTGGATGATTAGTACTACTATTAATCGATAACGGATTAGAATTGAATAAAGAATTATTATCGTTCGTGTTTGAGTAATTAACATGATAATTATCATTAACTGATAAAGAATTATCTACATGATTGAATGTATTCGATAAAGAGTTAATAGATGGTGGTATAACATTGACTCCAACAGTTCCACTGGTTTCATTCCCAATAACACCTGTCACACTTCCATCATAGAAATTACAGTAGGAGTCATTCTAAACGACCACAGGATTAATAATAATAATTAAAAAATAAAACAGGGGAAAAATTAGTGAATCAGTATGATATTCAATGATAAGATGATGGATGTGAAAACTAGATGTAATGAAAAGACCGGAATCAGTGAACATAGCAATGGTTTGTGCAATGAGATGTACACATGTGTTAAGTGGTTTAATAGGCAACTGGTAGGAAGCTATGTTTGATGAATTAGGTTTCATGGTATTATTATAAAGGTATATTTGCAATCTTGAAAAGAGTTGATAAACTATTGCATTCATATCACAGTTATAGATGCTAATATAAGCATACAAAATGCAATAGGGATTTCATACTGAGAACTGTGGTTGATTTATAAATGGCAGTATATCGTCAGACAGATTTATGAAGTAGTGGTTCTACAATTAAAATACTCATCCTCGTCGCTAAATTAATTATGACAAAAAACACATTGATTTGTTGATGATTCTGGCATTTGACATTGGATCACGATAAATGATCATGTGATTAGCTTAAAAAAATCAAAACATTCGATTGAGAACTTGAACTCCGTTTTATCTACTTCGATAGTGAACAGTTTAGTTGTATTACATTAATCCAAAATGTAACTCTGATATATAGAGGCAAAAATTAAACCTGAGAATCAAGTCTTCAATTTATTGGTATTCGAATGGTCTACAAAATCAGTGTCGTCTAATCACTTATGTTTCAATTGACTTTTTTTAAAAGAACGTCAATATAGTCATTTAGAAGAGAAAATGTTAGATGGGCCCAATAACCTATGAAGTTTTCGGTCGCCGTGACATTTGATATTAAACTTCCCATGCTATAAAACAAATTAATGAACTGATCTTAGTTAGGCAACTATTGAAGACCAGAAGGTATTAGACAGCTGTTTTTTCCCAGTATAAGACTCCTTAGCAGTGTGAATTTATGATTAATACAAAACAACTATGCAGTGCTTTCTGGTTTTAATGACTGTCTCACTAAGATCAGCCTATGATGTAAACTAAGGAATTTGACAGTCTACACAAACCTTTTAGAGTAATGTAAAACAATTAACATCTTTGTTAACTTACCTCACCAAGTGAACGTACAATATTTTGTTGATAAAGAGGTAGTGTATGTGTAAAATGTTGACTGATTGAATCAGCTGTAGAAGTAGGTAATATACCCGTATAACCATTTATATGTAAACCGTTAAAATTAAAGAAGTGTGTTGAATCTTGATCAGTTGAAATATTTCGATCTAGAACGGAAGTTGAAGAATCTATCAGTGATTCCCCATTTTCTTGAATACGTTCAACAGTTAAATAAGTTGGACCACTACTACCTCCACCACCCCCACCCCCACCAATACTTGTGGCAATTGCACTGTCATTTCCTCCAATCGTTGGATGATGATGACGTGTAATACCGATAAGACGATCTAATGTTTTCAGCGAAACTGCATCTTCACTCCAACCTGAAAGACTAATACTGGCAGTGTCTACCAATACTTTGCCGCTGTTATTACATGAATTTTGATGATGTGGTTGATATGCACTGTCTAAAGTACCGAGTGAATCAGCGGATGGCTAAAATCAAGAAAAAGATTAATGGTGATAGAGATAATTTCTCACCCTTTTGATATGTATTTTTGTATGGTATAAGCTTGTATGATTAACTGCAGGCTTAATTCCAGATTGGTATTTTATAAACAAGTGAAATACTAGGTGAGACCATAATTTATGGAAGGCTTTCAAGAGTTACCTAAACCACTTACTAGGATCGAAATAGGGTTGGAAATTGGTGTGAGGAATTAGGATTAGAATTTAGAGTTAGAACCTAAGGTTACGAATTATAGCTAGGTTTTTCATACCGAGCTGTTATCAGATGTAGTGCCAAACTACTATTTAGCCATACGGAGGAATAAACTTAGAACCGAAATTCAAGATTTGCAGTCCTAAATCTAAACGATACGACCATAAATTATAGTAGGCGAAAATCTAGATATTATCGAATCGAATCGGCCTATGATGACTAGAGACAGACATGTTTAGTCAAACTAAATATAAGGGACTATTTCATAATGTAGAATTCAACCCATTTTTGGTTCCACTCGCTGATTGCTGTGTACTTGTATCGATAAACTAATATTTTCTTCCATGTTTAGTTCTCGATCAAGGAAAGATCGAATAATTGCGTCAAGTGTATCAAATGATCAAGTACCTGGTACTAGTAGTCTGAACAATTTAATTAATTTTCGAGTATAACAGATCTGTATAAGCTTAAGTTGCCCCATAACAAATCAGTACAGGATGGATAGCAAGAAACCTCTGAAGTAACGGTATTGTCGTCTATGTTAGTGAAAAAAAATGTAGACATAGATATGATTTGAAAATAGAATGGATAATGTTAATTTGAACTTTATGAGATCGAATGTGGTTGGATTATTTGAAGAGCGCAGATTACAAAGTTAACTTGAATTCTTCTTACAGGAAATAAATTCATTTACAGCTTGAAATATCATTTATATTAATGAGCACTTTATCAAGTCAAAATCTGAGTTTTCAAAGTCCAGTTAATCACTTTTAACTGTGCAGCATTATAAAACATAGAATTAGAAATATTAAACGAGGAACGTCGTATAAATTGAATAATTTTAAGAAATTATACTAGTTTAACTCCACAGAATAGAATTAATACTTAAAACCAAAGTATATTCATCAATCTATGAGTAATACTTATGATGTGACAGCTAAGGATAGTCTACTTTAGTTATGTAAGCACTCACAGGGATAACCAAGTTTGAAGTCATAACTTATTGATTGAAAGTATGAAGGTTAAAATAAACAGTTACAACTAAAACTCAATAAACCCAAGACATAAATATTCGTTCATATCAGTTAGTCAATCGTAATTACTTTAGTTAAAGTTGACATAGTAAATCATTAAAGCGAGTTGAAATCAACAAGATGCATAGCAAAGAAGTTGAAATAATAAATAGTATCAGTGGTGGTAAGAAAAATTGAACATAGAGAGTACGATTCCATAGGAAGGGATGAAATCTTTTAATCAATTCATTCACCGAGTACTCGAGGGTATGAGTCATATTCTACGTATGAGGGCTTATGATATTATCCAGTTGCCCAAAACAGGAGTAAGTGGGAGCAAAGGTTGAATCTCGAACTGAATACCCTAGCCACTGAGCAACCGCACTTTTAATGAAATATAGGAATAAGAAGTGACGAAACAATATTGGGAATTAAGATTTAAGGTAAGATAATGAATGAGTGTATCTTTGCTAGTGAGACTGATATTAAATCACGTCATTTAAAATCTCCCAAGTATTGACTCTAATTATCTCACGGAGTTAAACTAAGTAGTTTGGATTTCCCTACAAACTCAATGACTTCCGGGACTGACATCCAACCTATTTATTTACTGTGCTAGATTCCCTCTTGTGTTGGTAATATCTATTTGACCGTACTAGTTCTAATGAATTCAAACTAAAGAAATTATACAACATAGTATGATAGGGTGATAACTTTAAATAAAGTTTTTATTTAACAGGTGATCGCTATTAAATGAATGGAGTTAGAACTGGTAAACTAAGTGAGGTAATGAACAGTTTTTATTTTTACTTGTCTTTGACAAACAAATTTTTGTGTGAAAGCTAGTGATACTACCATCGCCCCCAAACTGAAGTAAATAAAATTGGGCTCGGAACCTAGGGCCCAATGGTTAAAAATGGGTGACTTAATCATTAAGCTACTACCTCATGCAAACAATTGTCCCTAGTATTATTTATAAGGGTTTGTAATTCACCGCTGCTGATATTCAGTAGTGAAATTGGTCAGTCTCCGTTGTCATATTTTAATCACAAGCAGATAACTCTCATATACCCGCTTTCGGTTAAAAGTTTTAGTGCTAGAATCCACAAGGCGCCTTTCGATCTATTTTGGACTTTGTCAGCTGGATGTACCTGCATCTCAGTATTAATGCCCACATTGAAACGTGAATCTAGTGATTTTTGCATCAAACATCAATACATTATCCATTGAGCTACAAAGACTAGTCCACTTATAGTCTTGAACATCAACAGTAGTAAATTATAAATCTTTACTAATATTTTCTGACCTGTTGAACAATTTAATGACTATTTGAACTCAGTAGCTCAGTCGATAAAATGTTGGTATTTGAAGTGAAAATCACTAGATTCATGTTTCAATATGAAAATTAAAACTAGGATGGAGATACATATGTAACAGATGAGTTCCAAATAAAATGAAGTGCAAATCTTAGATTCCACTACTAGCTAAATAAATGTTAAATATACTAAAACATTCTCCTAGTTGTTAAGATTATCTTAAAATTACTTTTTATGAATGACGTACGTGTTATTCAACAAAAATATTAATTAGCATTATTCAATTATTTACTGGAAATAATATAAAATAAACTGGACAGGAGTCAGTCAGTCAGCTACAACGTAGGACCAGGCACATATATGCATCGGTCCAAGTTGCCATACCTCATTAACACAACTGGACAGGAACTATTTTACACGATTTATTTGATGAATGTTTGAATGTTACCGAATAGAATAATTCAAAAATCAGGGACAATAAATAGTTATTTCGTTACAGATTGAGAACCTATATATATATATATATATATATATATATATATATATATATATATATATATATATATATATATATATACATGTCTAACTCGTGAATACTTTTAAGGTTCTAAACCGGTAAAAAAATATAACATACTCATATTTGACAATAAAAAATTTCTTGTAAAAAAACGAGCAAACAAACAAAAAGAAATTCACTTTAACATACCCTAGCGTTAGTACATGGTAAATTTTGTTCATTAATTGAGCAAGTATCATTATTACCTTCCAATTTATGGTTTCCAGTCGGTGTTGTTGCTGTTGTTATCGCTGTTGTCATTACATTATTACGATTTGATGTTAAATTATTAATAATCGAAGATAATGGTTCTTCATTATCACAAACTAATGGTCCACGTGGTATCAATTGATTTGTTGATCGAGTACTACCCTGATTTTGGTTAGTTAATTGTTGACGTGGATGATGATGTGAATGGTTTTGTGGAACTTTTAAAGTGTATAAATATTTCCCACCACCAAGTGATTTTTTGTCATAGAATGTATTACTGTTGATATTAGGCATTTTAGTATCAGTATTGTCAAGCATAGTGTCTTTCTCAGTACTATAATTATGATTAATATTATCACTGGTAGTTGTACTATGTATATGATCCATGAGTAGTTTATGATTTGATTCTGTGTATGTATTGATAACGGCATCATCAGTACACCCGGGATCAGCGCCACCGCTACTAATCATGAAATGATTGAATTTGCTAAATCTACTTTTTCTCAATTTAAAATATTTAATACGACGGGATTTGGTTGGGACTACTTCCAAATAACGACTGTTGACATGCAATGTTATAAGAAAAATGAGAAAAAAGCAGGAAATGTTATTAGGTTAAAATGCAAACTAACACGTAAATCAAATTACATTTATGTACAATATGTTTCCCTTAAAAGTGTTTCTAACTTATTAACCTTACGTGCAATGCAATGTAACCTCTCACACAAGTGGATTTAACAGAGAAACCTTAAACTACTGGATCATGATTTTGAGCATTAACTAGACATAAAAGCTCTTCGGGGTAGTCAATTACAGGTTGAGAGAGTTTATGTGTTTACTCATATGCCATTTCAAGGTAAAACAGTAGGTGAGGTATTTTGAACGAGGCTTGGTATTTGAAAAAAATCGATTATCCAGATACTCAAGTTCTCAGACTATATATCCTAGTCTGGATCGGAAAGATTATATATATAATTTGTGGGCCTTGTCTTGATGTGAAACATGGTGTGAATTTTTATCGGCTCAAGCTGCAACACTATATTAACAGTGGGTGGATATCAACAAGATGTACAACGAAAGAGTTGGATTAATAACATCATTAATGATAGTAGGAAAAACTAAACATTGAAAATATGACTAGAAAAAAACACAATACAAGGAAAAGCATGGAATAATCTTGAGATTCAATATTTGGGGAAAGATAAAGAATGAGTGTATCCGTGTTACTGAAAATGATTTTAAGCCATATCATTCAAGTTCTTCACACATTGACTATCATTACACAGGGGTTTAAGATCCTGTAGTCTGAATGTCCCCACACAGTTTAGACCAATGTCTTCATGAAATAGTGTCAAATCTTGATTTGATTGTATCTAGCCTTTTTCCAACCCGCTCCAGAATCTATTCAGCATTGGGCATCAAGGTAGGGGGTAGTTGAGTATACGTATATCATTCTAGCCACTAAAAAGAGTGAAAATCCACAGCCTCTACCTAGTTCGGATAGAGAAGCCACTATGAAGTCCCATACAAGGGTAAAACAGTTGGATAGTGCTTTCTGGTTTTCGGTGTTTGTCTAACGTGGGCTTGTTCGTAATCTTAATAGAAAAGATTTCTATTTAAACAGTTAGAGCGAAAAGCAATTAATAAAAGCTATCTGTAATTATTTGTGATACCATGAAATTATAAACGTATAAAACATTTTTTGATAAATATTTTACTTCAGGTGTTAGGTATTGGAGGTAGTCGATAGGAAATCTTGGACCTACGTTTTGTACAATTCAGCACTCGATAGCAAAATGTACCTGTAGTCCTTAAGAGAACTGGTACTTTTTAGTGGAATCGGCCCTAATGCATCAGGCTCAACAGTTTGATATGTTACAACTGGGCTATTCAGGCTTCAACTGACTTTCGGTCATCACTAAAAGGATAAGTCAAACATAATACTGATCACTACTCGGTGATCAATCGATTGTATTTTGTTCATTTATTGATAGGAGGATTTAAATACTTAATTATACTTACCGAGGAAATTGAGGTTCACAACAAAACCTCCGCCAGTTTAACAAACAACCCAATGTAAATGGATTTAACAGTCCACGAAATTTATCTGTAACCTGATTGGAGTGAAAAATATAATGGTAATAATGTAGACAACGAGATATCTTTTGTGAACAAAGTAGTTACACATCTGAATGTTTTGACATATTTACAAGTAGTGACAATAATAATAATGATAATAATAATAGTAATAATAATCTCGATCACTAATCTCAGTTGGTATTGGAAAGTAACTCTACTAATCCCGACTAAAATTGTGATATACGACAAGAATCATGTCTGATGTATTATTATTGACATATCAATCATGAGTCAATAGTCACAAAACATACAGTCCACTTATCCAAGATGTTCAAGTATGACAAATATATGATTCGTTTTCAAGGTATAATGAATTATAATTTATCAATCTAATACTAAACCTTGATTAATAATGTAAAACAATGTCTAATCTACCAAAATATTCGCATAGTTCGGTACAAACAATTAGAACGGGTCAGTTCAGTTGGTCATACACAATGTAGAACTTACGATATATGGGCATAATTCGACATTTCTTCTTCAGAGATATTTATTTATTTATTTGAACACATAAACATTGGTACACACAGGCACCAAACAGATATGCGCCACATAAATCACTCGATTTGTGTGAGGGCTTGGATACTGCACCGGGTGCCCAAACCGAAGCACATGGTTTTCTCAGGGAGCCACACCTCGAGCCTTTGACCTGAAGGTCTAATCCATAATGTGGCGGAGCAACTTTAGGAGATGCAGTCCCATGGTAGCCGGTCACCAACGATATCTTCACACGCCATATGTTTCCTCAGGATCTTGGAGCCCATGTGCACCATTGGTTTGGAATCAGGGTTTTCCAACTCCCCTGGGTGAAGCCTCCGTATCCACCAACTGGTTTAAGGCGCCGGATATTCGCTTTCCGTCCTCTCAATTTCGTAGACAACACCCCCGCCGCGAGAAGGCAGTGAGCAGGACTTGCCTGGCAGTGGTTGTATGCACGTGGTCATGTGAGAGCATTTCGAGAGGGAGAGCTGACTCTCATCATTCTCGGCCGTACCAAGGCATTTGGAGGATTAATAGTGGTCTTGACAAACTGGGGCCGCGACCACAGAACTCAAGAGACAACTCCTTGAGGTCGATCACAAATGGCCTTTGCGTGGGAATTTCTTGATTTGTTAGCTCCGTACTTTTAAGGTCATTCCAATAGCGATGCGAATCCATGGGGTACAGTGACATGTGGCATTCTTAGAGCCGACTATTACTAATCCCTTCCATACATTCTGAAAATGCAGCATTACTGTGAATGTTGACTATCTGAAAGAAACATCCTACTGCCGTTACACTTCTGTGCAGTTAGCAGTACGATTTCACCTTCGAATACCGAGTTACAGCTTTTAGTCTTACTGCTCTCTAACCAAATTGTTTGGGGTAGTAGGGTTTGGGAGGACAAACGCTCCTGCCAATATAACCTGGTTGTCATCACAATAGGCAGACCTGAAGACCATGTCAAAGTGGAAGACATGGCAGTGACGGTTCAGTTGATTTAGTAAAATTAATGGAAATTATTAGTTATTCATGGAAGTAAAAATTACATAGTATCTTATGACATAAAAAGCTGACAATCTTCAGTAAATATTCATTTTAGATTATATTACTTAAAGTTGTTTTATAGTTAAATAGAGAGTCAAATTACTACTGAGACTTAATTAATATCTTATATGAGATCTGTTTGAGTGGGTTTATATCTATTACAAAGTCACATGTAATCATCATGAGGAATAACAATGGTAGAAACATTGTGAATCAAACAGATGACTACAGAATAAGTGCTGTAAATCAGTTGGTTATAAGCAAAGTGGAAAAATATAACAAAATATTAGACATAAAGGAAAAAGAAAATAATGACTGCATCTGGATTACTGACTGATTTCAGCTAAGTCATTTAAAGTTAATATATTGTCAACTAGTTCGCAGCCTTAATTACATGGAACATAATAAGTTCGTAAAATAAACGGACATTTACAGAGATAAATAATTCACTTCAATAACATTCAATCAACAGTCATACTGTGAAGGATATAGTGAAATTTACGGAATGTGGGAAACTAATTACTACTGAAAATAGTTGCGTACAACTACACAAGAATGTGTATATTGCGTCTAATCCACATGCTTCAGAAGTTGTCTTTTTTTCCTTTTAAACGTAATTTCTTTAAGATTTCATATCTGTTTAAAAAGGCTTTAGTCACAAGAGCATACATATCATAATACAGAATGACATCACTGAATTAAAATAAAGACAATTATGAAGCATCAACATCAGTTTAAGGGTTTGAAGATTAAGATAAATGTCGTTGGGCAAAAACTAATGTCTGAAAGAATATGGATCGATAAACCCTTACTAGTTGGAAGTGGCAAAATATTTCTTCAAATATGTAACTTTTATAATCTCACAAGTGGATAACCTTAAATCTAAACCAGAGTTGATGATAATTATCTATTAATCTTAGAACACAACAAATGAACTGGAGATGAAATAAGTCCATCTTTAGGACAGGAGCAGAAGATAACTTGCTATTTTGACCAGTAAAACTTCATGAATTTGATGAAAACTTATCACGAACGAAGTTATTATGAGTTTCAAATGTCTTGATCGGTAGCGTCAACAACGGATCCTATATGAACTAAGTGATTATTGATAGAATGGTATAAAATGGTAAGTGTGTGGCATCACAGAAAAAACTCAGAATACAGCCTGGTCGAGTCATGCTTTTGTAAGTACACTACTTGATGAAATTTTGGGTCATTTTCGTCCTTGGGTAGGAATGTGGTGGTGAAGTGCTGACCTTATTTTTAAAATATTGTATCCTCAGTTCCCTTTTATCCCAAGACGAACCGATTAAACCAGCAAAGATGAATTATAGAGGAATGCAAGATATAAGTAGTGCCACGTAGTATGAATAGTGTTAAGTATACTGTTTATTAATAACCGCATAATAAATAACTTAGGTGGCACATTAAAATTGTACATACTTATTAGTGAAATCAGCACGTGGATAAAGTGGTCAACCATATAAACCAACTGAAAGTTATTTTTACAGTGGATTGATTGTGAAACCAAATGGCAAAAAGTTGTAAACTCCAGTGACTTGACTATTTTGGGAACATGTACGATTATTGAATAAAGGAGAGCAGTAATCACTTGATAGTTTAGTGGAGAAACATTATACCAGTTTTAGTAGAAAAGCGAACAGTATAATAGTATCATGATAACGTGTAGCTCTCTTAAAAAAACGATTAAAAGGGACTAACTAGAATATTTCACTAGATTAACAAAATAACTGTAATTACTACCTCCTTTTCTGCATTGAATCGTCTGTTAAAAAGTACATTTCACACTCTTTTTAGCCTGATCAACTACTATTAGAACAAAATTGCTAGTTTTCATTTTAAAAGGACAAAAATACATGTAGAACGATTAAGGGAAATATTGAAAAATAACTAACCTGTTCATTGGTTGTCATTCCTCGGGATATTAGATATACATGGAATGAAGTTAGTCCAAAAACCGGAATAAAACTAACACCAACTAGAGAAAGTGTAATAATTCTATAACGGTGAGTTAAGGTGGTAAAATAACCAAAACTGAATCAAAAATAGTGATAGGAAACAAGTCAGATGTGACAAAATTGTAAGCTAATTTTGAGTTGAGTAAATTAAACATTGTCGATGTATGTTTTTCGTATTTTTTTTTAGAAATTCTGCTGGTACTGTCGTTATAGATATAAAGGATGCTGAACAGAAACGGTCGCTCTTAAGTTTTTAATGTTTGGCTTCTACATCTAATCGGAAAAAATTGGGGTTTTGTGACGCTCGTAGTTAAGTAGGATTTCCAACGCCAAGAAACGGATCAAGTTACACTCGATTGTTCATAAATTAAGTAAAAATAGGCTAACTTGTCGAAAAATACATATTTCGTCTATGTGTAACACGAAAATATTTGGCACAGCAAGACCTGAATCAAGTAAGATAATTTCTTAAGAATTCAATTCGTAAAAAACTGGCAAGAATGATAACACTAAATGTAACATTATAGACGGAAATAAATAAAGACCGTACCCCTTCCAGAGGTGGTCAATTATTTGTTTGTGCTTACATTTGAGTCGCACTTCGTCAAGTCTACAGATACTACGTAGCTCCTCAAACCGAAATAAATGGCTCGGAGCATGGATCCCAATAATTGAAATACAGGTATTTTTTAATAAGTCACCACTCTACATCCCTTAATGTACAACCAACTGTATATCCTGCAGAGTCACCACTAGTTATAAATCTCATGTGATAACCTCAAAAGTCACTGAGTTGGATAATCGTTACGATCCCACATGGAAATTGCTGTCAGACTAAGACGACTATGAATTCAATATGCTGCATTATTTCATGAAGAATTTCGGTTCTGTATACAACTAATTCCTCGGCGACAACGATGGTCGAAAAAATCACTTAACGTAGAGGAGTCCGTCGTTACAAACACGGGTCAGAACTGCCAGTATCCGAGTTGTACACCCGGAATTTCGCGGTTAGCTTAACGGTGTGGTACCAAGGCGACTTGAATAGGAGTTTCTGAAAGCATGAACGTCTACCCTCAATATTGATGAAAATTATTTAGGTGGCAGTTACAAACAGAACAGATTTAATTTCTCCTGACCTTTGAAATAACTACATCTAAGCTGCCTCATGGCCAAATAAGTAGAGAAACAAGATGAGCTAAATTGCTGTTAGTTTACTTCTTCAATATTAGTGGATGCGATAAATAGTTAAAACGATAAATATCCAAAGATCTGATGTAAAAGAATTTATCGATGCTAAATGACAACCATGTATTTCTAGTGTTCCTAAGTAAGCAAAAACGAGGACACAAAGAACTAGGGTCGGGAAAGTATATAGAAAACAAACCCATATGGCACAAAGGATACCGTATAATATTTGTATAGAATACGATCGGCTGATCGTTAAGTAATAATGATGCTAGGGTTATACTAAACACGGCAATCATATGAAGTGTAAGCGAAATTAAGAACATGAAGAAGTAACGCGCGTTTCTTTTTCCAATACAGTTATTGACCCAAGGACAATGATGATCAAAAGTCTACCAAGGAGTAATATAATTAACCTGATGCTTACATCCACACACCGGTTACAAATAGAGCAATGTGAACACCTTGGGGGACGGTAGAACAAACATGTGCTGCACCACTTGACTTTGGCCAATACTCCATTAATATTATATTCACGATGAACAGGAGCAGATTTGGTTTCTTCATATTCAGCCTCTCCTTCCGTTGCTGGCGAGAGATAAATGTAAAGAGAGATCACCTACCGAAAGGAAAATAACCAGGGTCCATGAAAGTTGTTCGCGTTAGACAGCATAACACATAGAAAACTAGGATAGCATGAAGAACAAATATAGACCAGGAGTAAGTTGCTGCGAACTGGAAGCAACTATTTAAGAGTGAGTAATATAGGTAAAAACTGTGTTACATGAAGGTGAGGTATACCGCCGTGATACCTACTATAAGACTCCAGGCGACAACAGCTGGAATAACGTCGGCAACTTTAGCAGAACACATCATATATCACATTTTAGCAGGAGGATCTAATCACCCGCTGCTTATACTAGGCATCTTTGGGAGCGACCTTGAGGATTTGAGTTTAGTCAGTCCTTTCAATAATAAATGTAATAATAGGGTTGCTAAAGCTAGTTACAGTCATGCTTTCATCTTGATGCTGTGTTATGCTTTGATATCTTCACATAAATAGAGTGAATCAAGTCTAACAAACTGACCGTTGTGTATTAAAAGAGCCATTTAAAGTTATTACATTTATTGGATAGACAGATGTAACACTAACTCTCTGAAATCAGGTGTTTCGGAAGCACTCCGCACTTACGCTGAACTTGTGTTAAATGTACAGACTCTTTTTAATGGCCACTGCTAGTCGAGGAAGCTTTGTCAAGCATCATCATATCACGGTATAACTTGACAGGAAGTGCCTTTAGCATCCTATATGGCCAATCTATAAGTGTTATGTTTCCGTCTTCAGCGAACAATCAAATATACCTTTCTTTCATACCGTCTTCACCCTCCTCCTTATATGTTATTGATTCAGATTCGTAAAAAATCCTGGGCAACGGTTTTCTATCCTTTTCAATACAGCTACACCTCTTTATTGGTAGGCTACTGATGGTCGGATATTCCAAAGGACATGTTAGAAAATTATACCAAATTTTAACCCGTAGCGGTAAATAAATCCCCAAAATCAATAGCTCTGTAAGTCCTTGACGTTTACTGACTGCATTAGTTTTACTGGACTCACCTAGTTGAAGGCGTTCAGTCATGCATCCATACCAGATCACAAGTGGGTACGCTGTGCTACACATCCACAACCGCTAGTCAACTAAAACTATTCACTTCTAGATATATTGGCAGCCTACCAATTATATCTTTTAACCTCCTCACTTCTGACTTCTGATTTGATTAGGTTGGCATGCTTCGTTTATAAAGGGCGTTACTGGTTAAGGTGATGTCAAACTCCGAATGCTTGTGAAATCTATAAACCTATGTGTATTTCATACATATTCATTTTAATGTCTCTGACGAGTATTTCTCTTCAAGATGCTACAATTGCAACTTGTTTCTTATTTTTAAAAGAGACAGTGGGTAAATCAGCATTTTCTGCAGGCTGGAATTAACCAGGAACCTCTCTACTGATCTTCTTGTTTCACATCACACACAACTATCCATTCAGAATCTTCTTATTTTGGCATTCTGCGGCATTATTTGTAAGAAACTTCATAGAATATATTTTGGTACAAAATACTCGTTTCCGTAGTACCTGTTTCCGCTTTGGTCAATAATGGTTTTCAACATTGAACGTTAAGTATTCATTGACCAATGTGGATGAATTATGGCAATGGTTTGGTGTTACCACATTGTGGGATTATCTCCAAAAAATTGCATCATAAGAGTTTTGGACTCATGTCGCTCAGAAGTTTGCAGAAAAGACTAGAAAATTCGTCTATATACTTCATAGCCAGTTTGACATGAATGGAGCTATCGGAAAGACTATATACAGCATATAATATTCAGAAGTTTGGTAAATGTTTATCATGTGGAAAGTTTCATGCTCGCAATTCATGTGTATTTCGTAATGCTAAATGTTTTAAATGTGGTAAGGTAGGACACATTCAGTCAGTATGCAAAGCTACTGTCCATTTTGCTTCGAGCTGTACTAAATCTTGTAATTTTAATTTCAATAATTCGGATGTTTCTAGTGATCATTTGTCTTTGTCCACCATTTCGAAAGGTAATGCTCATATTCAGAAGCGATTATATACACCGCTTGGTTCATTTCATGACTTTATTCTGGACACAGGCAGCATAGAGTCCATTATTTCATTCAAGAACTTGAAAGCTTTAGATCCTAACGTTGTTGTACGACCCACTGAAGTATCAATACTGGGGATTACTAGACACAGACTGCCCATACGAGGATGTTGTGAATTGCTAATCAGAGATAATAATTCTTCATACATACCTTGTGAATTTTTAGTTAGCGAAACCGGACTGTCAATATTGGGTTAAAAGAATTTGAAAAGGCTTAAGGTGGAGTTGTCCTTCTTAGTTTCTAAAGAAAATTCTGATACTTTACTTAAAGATTCGATAGCTATGTGTGCTAAGTGCAGTGGAGGTATGAAAATTAAGCCTATAAAACTTCAAGTACAGGGTGATCCCGTCTTTCTTAAAAGACGAATAATTCCTTATGGTATTCGAGAAGCAGTACATAAGACATTAAACCACTTGTGTGTGAAAGGCATAATTGGACCAATTCAGTCTTCAGCATGGGGTACTCCTATCGTTACGCCACTGAAGTCGGACAGCAAGACCGCTAGAATTTGCGGTGTCTATAGATTAACTCTGAACTCCCGTTTGTTGAAGCAAACGTGCACGACGGTAGAAGCTGAAGATATTCTAAATCGACTTCATGGTTCTAAAGTGTTCTCGAAAGTTGACCTAAAAGATGCTTATCTTCAAATTCCTTTAGATGAATCTTCATCTATTTTGACGACAATTAACACTCCTTTTGGTCTGTTCAAATACAATCTCCTTCCATTTGGTCTAAGTTGTTCTCCAGCCATATTTCAGGAAGTTATGAATAAAGTAGTTAGTGATCTTGAAGGTGTTGAAGTTTATCAAGATGATCTCATTATTCATGGCTCTAATAAGGTAGTTCATGACCAGAGACTTATTGCTTTATTGCGTCGTTTAATTGAGAAGAACATAACAGTGAATCCAAATAAGTGTTCATTTTGTGTATCTAGTTTTGAATGCCTTGGATACCTAGTTGGTGGTAATGGTTTTAGACCAGATATGAAACGACTAGCTCCACTGACTAATACACCGTCTCCGAAAAATCTTACAGAATTACGTTCACTAGTGGGTGCTCTTCAATACTATTCCCGTTTTGTTCCTAATTTTTCTTGTCGTGCAAATTGTTTATTTAATATTTTAACATCCAATTCATTCAAATGGAGTGAGGAACAAGAGTCATGCTTACGAAGTCTGCTGAAGTTTCTTCAAAGTGATGCTGTTCTTCGAACGTACTCCCCTAATGTACATTCTGTGCTTATTACTAACGCATCACCTGTGGGAATTGGTGCAGTTTTGGAACAGGAAGGTAGACCAGTTATTTGTGTTTCACGCAAACTTACTGTTACTGAACAAGGTTATTCACAGACTCAGAGAGAAGCATTAGCTGTGTTTTGGGCTGTTAAAAGACTTCATAAATATTTATTCGGAAAGAAATTCACTATTGTTACTGATCATGAAGCTTTAAAGTTTATTTATCATCCCGAAAAATCCTTAGCACGTTCCTCAGCAGCTATGGTTCAGCGATGGAGTATTGCTTTGAGTGCATATGACTATACGGTTCAGCACAGAAGTGCCAAACAGATTCAACATGTTGATTACATTTCTCGACAGTCATTACAAGATAAACCTATTAATACTTCGGATTGTTTGTTAATGCAACCTTTACCAGTGAGACGTTCAGATCTCATTAGAGAAACGCGTAGATATTTTGGATGTATACTCAGTGCTATAAGGAAAGGTTGGAATGCTAATTTGAAACGGAAATTTCCTATCTATTTTTCAAAGCGCGATGAGTTATCTACTACTCCTGATGGTATCCTGTGTTTAAATGATCGTGTTGTCATTCCTCCTTCATTGCGTAAATCTGTTCTTGAAGATCTTCATAGTGGTCATTTAGGTGTTGAGAAAATGAAGTCCTTGGCAAGGCTCACATGCTGGTGGCCAGAGATAAATGCAGATATATGTCGTACGGCAAACAATTGTGAGAAATGTCATCAGTTGAAAAATCATCCTTCGAAGTGGGTGCCATGGCCAGTATCGTCTGAGGCCTGGCAGAGGATTCATGCTGACTATTGTGGACCATTTCTTGGTAAATACTACGCACTAGTAGTCATTGATTCTTTTTCAAAGTGGCCTGAAGTTTTTTTCACCACTTCACCAAATTCTGATTTCACAATACAAGCATTAAGAAAGGTGTTTAGTCGAGAAGGTGTTCCCTTGGTGTTGGTGACTGATAATGGCTCACATTTTGCTGCAGATGCAGCCACTACCTGGTTGAACAGTATAGGGTGCAAACATCTATTTACTGCTCCCAGACATCCGTGTTCTAATGGTCAGGCAGAGAATTTTGTTAGGACATTAAAGACTGCTATTGATTCTATAGCCCCCTCAACATTTAATGAGCTGGAGAGGGGAGTAGATACCTTTCTATTGCAATATAGAAATGCCAAACATTCGGTGACGAAGGAGACTCCAGCGAAGCTATTGAAAGGAAGAATTCTTCGGTCGAATATGAGATGTCTGGAGTCTGCAGAAGTTACATACTATCGAGGAAATGATCTTCGACCATCTATGGGTATTGTTCTGAAGAATGTCGGAAAATCGATGGTGCGAATTCTAGATATCGATGACTTAAGTACACACAGTCGACATGTAGATCAAATACAATTTCAGGAACCAGGTGAGTCAGTTCCAACTTTGATTGTTAATTCTAATGCTACTGAGCATATTCTAGATAATACAGAATCCTTATCCAATACAATGTCAGACAGACTCAGGATGAATTTGAGAAGAAGACGTACGATTGATTACAAACACCTAGACTCCAATTTAAGCTGTGGCGGATGTGGTGTTTGAATGAACCAATGATACCTTTGTACTGGTTGAATGCTTGATTTCGAATTCTAAATACAATACATTCGTTGGTGCCTGTGTTTTCTTAATTCAATTGCGTTAATCCTGGAATTCCTGATTCATACGACAATTAGAATACTATATATATTCAGCTTGCTAAAACGTTTGGGCATTTGGGTGTAAGTAGTCAGTTTGACATTCACATGAAGCGTTTAACGCGACTGTTCTTAAAGTAAGTAAATAGAACGAATGGGCAGAAAAATACATGCAGCTGATCACGTACACTCACTCAAAAACATAGCTACGGGACAATTATTACGTTGAAATGTATGAGAAATAATACGAGGCGAAATGAAACTATTTTCCATCACAAATCAGTTCTAAATTACTCAACTACCCTATAAACGTGTTTGTAAGCCAAAGCAAAATAAATTGGAGGTATTATTTCCTGAACTTTAAATTTGATACGCCAAATTTTTTCACTCTGCTTCATTTCAACATTATATAGTTTTCATCAAGCACTTTTTTACTTAAATTCCGTGGATTTTCCTGCTGATTTTTAGACGTCCTGGACTCAATCTTTGATGTCAATGTTAATACTGATAGTAGGTGCCTAACGCAAATATATCTATCTATGCTTTAGTGATTGCTCTTCGATTTTATGATTGATTAAGTGTCATGGGGATGCTTTCCAATAAAAATGATAGACCTAACCCCGAAATTGTAGATTTGCAATGATGTGACTATCTAATCTATATGACCTTACATGGAAGTCACATCATTATCTACACTGATTTATCGTATCGCGACAGTCAGCAACGCGATGCTAGCACTTCTAAAGAACACGTTTTAGCTGGGAATAGAATATGGAACAACCACACCTGCAAGACTGAGCCATTCTATACCGATTCATTCTTCCAGCGTTGACTATTCACAACCTTCTCTTAGTGTTACATATCGACAGCGAATCTCAGTAACTATACGCTCAGATTCAAAGGACTAATACCACTGGGCTACAATTGGGTGTTTGGGTAGCAGTTTTGTGAATTTCCGAAAACTGTTATATATGTCATGTATTTATGAGCGATTTGGCATACAGACGATAAGTGTGCGGCCATTATGGGTATAAAAGTTGATAAATTTGGTTAGTTCTATGTTTCCTCTTAGGTATAACGATGACGAAAACCGTAATTCACCAAGACTCTACAGTCAATTGCTGTGTATACAAGTATTGTAAGAATTTCGATCGTCTCAGCTGGAAATTAAGAGGATAGTCTCTAGAAGTTCGACTACAACACTAGAATTCTCTAAAAAAAACCGTGTAGACCATCTGAATTTAATAAATAAAATGACTTTAATCGAAGTTGTATGTTTGAAAAAGTTGTAACGTAAGGTACTAAATCTTGACACAAGTGGTGGGAAACTTGCAAATTATGCTCGTAGGATTAGTCTAATCTAAGAACGTATGCCCTCCTCAAAGCTAACATTGTCTGCAGCCGGAATGAGATAGGAAAAACGTAATAAAATTAGAGCAACTTTGGGGTAGCTTGACTTTCTGAGATCTTGACAAAAAACTTCATCTGAAACATCTGTAGTGTGGCGTCGAGTCGAGATTGACTATGAACACCGCTACAAAGAAACACGTGCCAAGTAAATCAGAAGGCGAAGGTTGAACGTAACCAAATAAATCCACAAAATCCCCGAGAAGCCAAATATCAGAAGACAGTTAATGGACCAAATCGAGATATATTCGCTGGCGATCTCGTGGTATCGAAAGGATACCGAGATCGTGCCAGGATACAAGCTTGGTTACAGAACGTAACCGAATTCGCGCGAAGTCACAATCAAAGTGTGAGTATAAGAATGGAAGCACAATATAACTGTCATTAGCACAGTCAGAAAAAAGCACATTAAAACAAACACTGGTACAGTTGGTTATAATAATAATTGTTTTTATTAAACCAGTCGTGTTCTCGTGATAAATGTGAGTCACTACACATCTGAGATTTCCCCGTGGGTGGGTCTGAAGGACATTTAGTTCCACGTTTGGTGATCAATCTTTATTAGCAGATATACTTCTACTTCTGAGGGTGATTTACTGATCTGTTTTGCTTCAATGACTATAAATTCTCTGAAACTAAGCTTATAACTATGTTATGTTTGGGTTTATTACTGCATACTCCAACTTTTAAAAAATCTCGAGAGATTCCAACTCACATTGGCGTTTCCTTCATATAACGGGGATTGCTGCCCTTATCACTTTTCAACTCTCTTACATACTTGTAAATTTAGATGCGTCTTCCAAAGTATTTAAGCTGTAAAATTAGTTTGTCAGATGGAAATCTCTTATGTTTTGTATTTAGGCGAGGGGAACGAACTCTATTGCTCAAACAATCAGTGTATAAAAATTTAGAGTTTAAAGTAGAAGACTTTAGAAGTGGTGGCGAAAAACATATTGTTCTCATATCTTTTGTTTTATTTTTCTTAACAATTGCTCGTATAGTGATTTTGTGACCTTGTAAGTAACCAACCGTTTGATGCTTGGCTATGTAACTCAGTCGTAGCTTTACGATATAAACTTCTAGTTCCGTTTGTCAGATTGTCATAGTCTCACGGGAGCATAGTTTGTTACTGTTTTATTTTGATTTTATGCCTAAATGTAAGTGAAATTTATGTATTAACTAAGTCATTTGCTCACTTTTTTCTGCATTCTTTTAATTCCTAGATTCTTTCACTCACTGTCGTGCACTCTCACAACATACGAGACACGTTTAGGCGAGATATGAACCCACCAGAGGCTTAGAGTTGCAGCCACTTGTTCATTGAAATAGTCAGGTACTAGTGTTCAAGTTTGAACACTATTAGTAAATAAATAGTAGAGGACGATATTCATAAACTCTCTCCTCTCAGACCAAAAAACCCTGCAAGGTTTAGTTTTTTAGTGAATGATTACTTGATAGATACCAGATGCTTTTAGGTCAAGGTTATGAAACACATGTGACTTTATCACGTTAAAGTCAACTAGCTTTCCTCTTTTAATTGATTTTAACTAAGCACTTTATGTATATCAATCGCTTAAGCCAATTATTAATACAATGAGGGAGTAACTAATACAGAACGAGATTTAATCACTATTTTATATTGTGACAAAACTTGAGACTTGGGTTCTGAACAACCAATCAGATGTCATTTTCTCACTCGAAATACTTGACTATAATCGTACCTAAGGTCAGACGACACGCATATTGCAGTGAACAAATGTCTTAGCAGAACCTGAAAGCTATAAATTAAATACCCCATTTGCAAAGTATCAGACTTCATTGTCCTTTCGATTCTACATCAATCATTCTTTGTTCTCGTTCTCTTTTCTTTGATCTTAACTTTCTGCCTCCACGTATTTGACTTTTGTTTGATGATACATATTACTTATGTCAGTCGACATCAGTAGCGCACACCACAATCTGACAAACATGAAATATTCAGGATTCTTGTTGCTATGTCTCATTACTGATGTTTCTCTGCATCACAGGGTACTTCTTAAAGCCATTACGGCGGACGCCTTCATTTATAGTCAAAGACTAGAAAAATCATAGCAGCAAGCATATCTAAAAAGATAAACAATTTCTCACAAATCAGAAGTAATATACAATATACCTGGCCTCAATAACACCACACCGCTTTATAAAAATGACTTTATTTACAAATATTCCGATGATAATCTAAGAATAAAGCTAACTGATAGTATGGGCGAAGATGTTATTTCCCAAATAAAGGTATGTAAAACTTTCATACTTGGAAAGCACGGAAATTGACGAGAAACGTCTTAAATTTGTAGCGTCACAGATAAATTATACTACTCAATGGAATGTTGTAGTCGGTCAGACGTCGTCTAGTTTTAGTCTTCTATGGCTTTACTTTCACGTATTTTTTATAAAAAAAGACTGTTCAAGACATCAGATAGAAGTTTGCATGTAATTTGTGAGGCATAAACTCAGCGTATTGCCTGTCTAAAATATCACACTCCAGTGGTTTTTTGAAAAATCAAGGATAGTTGCTCCCATTTATTGTCATCAAAGTAACAACTTAAGGAAGAAGCAAAATTGTCTAAGGGATAAATAACCCATGACGAACGTCTTGAAAATGGATTTTTTGATTGTCATTTTCATGTGTGTCATGACACAGGCTTTCTCTTGATGTAGATGCATCGTTTTCAAATATCTGAGTAAGTAGCAAATCCGCAGCTCCTTGTTGCTATTACTTTGGATATGACCGGTAAGTACTGAAGAGGGATAAAATTAAGGCTGTAGTAACTTTATCACGAACTTATTATCTAGAAGTAAAAGCACACCGTGTTTTCAGTGAATCTAACTTTTTACATTGAACAAGGTGTCCAATTACTTCAATAAAGCACCGACTGTTTATCCGAACTGTGTTGAGGACTTCGGATGTTGACGTGTTGAACATTCTAGTACTTAGTGGACGGGGACCTCATATGGTATGATTAAAGGTTGATGACGATGAAGATCAAATTCATTGTTATTCTTTAAACTGTCGGTCTTAAGATATTTACCTGATTGTACTTCCCCACGCATTTCTCCTGAGCCATATTTTCATGTTGAGTATTTACTGCCATTTATATAATTATTTTTATCTGCTTGATTTTTGTTCCCGTTAGTTTTCTTTCATTAAGTTGAATTTTAATATTTCTGTCTAATACTCATAAATTGCTTAATCCTTACAGAAAATGCCAATAACTGGGGGTATTGCAGCACCAAAAATTATACCATTAAAGTCAGATGATAAAGAAACATTACAAGGTTGCATTGATACCCAAACGTTTATTGAAATTGTATCAGGTAATAAAATTATTAGTTAGATTGTGGTTAACGATATGCCTCTACGTGTTTGAAAGTCAGTAATATCAGGTGAAACTACAGCCCTGAATCAACTGGACTTCGTGATTATCTCAAAATAAATAAACGGTGCTTGATAGTTATATTTATAATAATTTGATTAAAACTTGAGGTATTTTGCAAACTCTGGTTTAGATTTCAAGAAGACTTGGTTGTAAAACGCTTTGATTAAATGCATATTACGGTTTACGAAATTAAACGACAAAACTCTTATAATCAATAAAGTATAGTGACAGAACAATGTTCGGTCATTTAAACGCATTTTAGTCCGCTATTCATAGAACTTGGTACAAACATTTACTAATCAAAGTTTTCATAACTCGTTTTGGCCCACTGAAGAGTTAGGAGGGTGAGAAGTGTTGAAAGTAAAATATCAACTGTAGAGTTGAACCTGATAATGATGAACCTATTTCAAAATGAATTAATGGTATCTTACAATATGGGATATAAAATGACATCAAGCTCAGTTTTTAGGGAAAGATAATGAATACATTCAAGTGCACCAGGCGAACTAATTTAAAGTCATATTACCTTAATTTGACAATTATCATCCACGATTTCATGCTGAAACTGATCCAAAAGTTCTCATCGGTCGATATCAGTCAGTTTTTTAGTTATTTTTCTCATTGACTGATGCCATTTCTTATAGTGAGCATTCAAACCCATTATATCAAACTACATAGTTAACGATTGTTGATATCTTGTTTAGATCACTAGTATATAGTTTATTAAAATTCAGGTTACTTAAAAAGTAACTTCACTGATAAATTAACCGTTTATTGTCCTTAAATCTGTGGTTTAATAAATTATAAATCTTCCCACTTCAGCTCTATTACAACCGCAATTGCATCTATTCGATAAATTTTAAAATTTGGTTTGCAAGATACTGTTGCGAAATTTGTGTTAAATTTTAACTAAACACTTGATGAATTTTATGAACTCATGACCATTCTCGTTTTTTTCATGACTTGACATAAAACCGTTATTATAGATACACCAAACGCACGACTATATTTCACAACAAATGGAAAAAATCCTAACCCATGGAAGAGAAAAGTTGATGGTCGTGAAGTGACTTTTGTGTATAAAGCTCCATTCGCCCTTCGTCCTGGTAAAAGAGTTGTTAAAGCAATAGCTGTTCACAGGTAATCATTTGGCTTAATCCAAAAAATTGACGTGTTTTGCAAAACAAAGAAGATATCAAAACTGTTCCTTCATTATGTACCGAATCTATCATAAGACGATTATTTATTATACTCAATATAAGATGATCATGCTGCCAAAGCACAAATGTTTAGAAGCGTAAGAGCTGTGTTCACTAGTGACTAACTTTGAGAAGCATTTCCAAAGGTCTAGTGGGAAGCCGTAATAGGTGGAGTTCAGCCACCACCGGGCATAAGACATATTACCGATGGCAAGTATATTTTTCACTCTATTGTCCAATGATTTCTGATTTTCAGTGGTTGTTTAGCTGAAATCAGCCTGTTTTGTAAACTAGAAGCATATACTACTTGGTTATGACCACGAGCGTGTATTTTTCAGTAAGAAAAAAATGTGATCTGTGACACAGATAGGAGTGTTCAGATGAGATGCATTAATAATGCGAAATCTGCGGCTCAATTTCCTCCAAAAGCCGAAACATCCCGTCATGTTTATCGCCAAACAATAATAAACACTAATAATGTTACTTGAAACATTCACAAAATTATTATATAGATGTCCTTATAGTTAATTCGTCAACCAATGAAATTAGAACCTGACTATTAGGCATGACTTTTGTCTTGTGTATTTATAAATCTAACGCTCCAAATCACTCGTATACTGTTCATGATAACAATGGTCTCTACTTTTAAAATCATGTAAGTTAAAATTGTAATTATTATTGGGCATTCCGTCTGACACAGATAAGTGCCCAATTATTTTTGCGAAAGAATTAATTGCCTTTGAATGTGTATTTATAATCATTCATAAACAACGAGTTTGCTAAACGTTTTTGATTACATCTACTAGCTATTATGATAAGTTTAAATGATTGATTAAATTACAAGATTGAGTTAAGTGGTCCAATTAGTGATTTTAATCACGGGATACAATCAAATCTCAATTAAACAAATTCTAAAGTACATAATCAGTAGGGTATTTAACTATGATTACTGGGATTAAAGTTATTACTTGCCTGCATAATATTCAGTCAATATATCTTTTACAGAGTTATAAATTGAATAATAAATTTTTAATTGAGAATAAGAATTAACAAAAGGGGTTTTGTGGAGATTTTAGAAATTTAACTGGTTGAAATCATGAGTCAATTGAAGCTAGACCACTATGGAAAACCCGGAAGCACTAGACGGCCGTTTCGTCCTGGTATGGGGCTCCTCAGCAGTGCGCAGTGGTCTAGTTGGTTAGGCACCTGGCGCGGGACTGATACGTCCTGGGTTTGGATGTCGCGGGGTGCGGGATCATGGGTACGCACTGCTGAGGAGTCCCATACCAGGACGAAACGACCGTCCAGTGCTTCCAGGTTTTCCATGTTGGTCTAGCTTCAATTGCCTCATTATTTCAATCAGCGAAATAAGAATTAACGTCTCAAAGTAGTCAGGTATGTCTGATTTCTTTGAGTTGTAACATTTCATTTGGTTAACTAATAAACTAGTGCATAATCAACAAATCAAAGATACTGATTTCAGGATTGAAATGTAATATAATTACCTTTATCTATAAGAAAAATATTTAAGAGTACTTACTGAAATTCAGAACATCTATCATATAGATGAAATCTGTATAAAGAAACAAGTTTATCAAAGATTACATCATTCTATATTTTATCTCGATTTCTTTCTATTCATTTTACTTATATTTCATCTTAGTGTAACAAATGTGGAAAGTCATACTGTCACACGAAAATTTAGAGTTATAGATAGTGGTAATAAAGATAAACGGCTTCACAATGGAGATAAACCTACTGGCACGGAAAGTGATGAAGAAAATTTATCAAGTGATGCTTTGGAAATGCTTGATAATTACGATGATGATGATAACGATGGTGTAAATGGTAATGTTTATAGTCCAGCTATAATACGAAAAGTAAGTTGTATTTTTCAATTATGACTAATTCACAATGCCCATCACTGACTGACCTTACTTAAACAATCAGTCAAAACTAGGAAACAATGAACGGCTATTTTTTTCTAGTATGGGACTTTTAAGCGGTGTAAATCCATGAACCCGCCTGGGATTGTACTCAAGATGTGCAGATGTTGTGACATATGCTTGACATTTAGACCATTGAACTGTTATGTTCTGACTGGGGCTAGACATGTAAATCATTTGAAGGTGGATGAGTGATCTGACGGTTAAGCCTTTACCACGAGGTTCAGAGATCCTGGGTTCTATCCCCAACGGGTTAGTGGATGTGAATAATAGGACAAAATAGCTGTTCATTGTTTCTTGGTTTTTACTAATTGTCTAATGTCAGTCAGTGATGTTAACTATGAAATTCAACACTTTGCAAACCTTCTATCCTATAACTAATTCATTTTTTGTTGTATTTTACTAGCAAAATGATGACTACACAGATGATGTAATTGAAAACTTTATGCGTAGTAAGTTATTGGTTGACATCATTACCTCATATTTTCTTCTTATCCTTAATACATATGCTTTACAAATGGTCAACATATGGTATCTGGATTATTCAGTGTACATATAAATTCAGATTATAACGTTTAGTGTTCACATATCCTGACAACAATTTGACTAAATTGTGCGCAATTTTAGTTCATAGTAGTATTAACAAGAATCAGTAGGATAAACAATCAGAATTTTATCAGAAAGGGGTTTTGTGGAGATTGTAGTAATTTTAAAGTTGAATTCAGTAGTCGATTAAAGCTAGGCTATCATGAAAAATCTGGAAGCACTGGACGGATGTTTCGTTCTAGTATGAGACTCCTCAGAAGTGTGCACCCACGATCCCGCTCCATGGTGATCTAACTTTAATTGACTCATGAATTCAACTATCAAAATTACTACAATCTCCACGAATCCCGCCTTCTGATAATAATCATCATGTGCTCACTAGTGACTGGCTTCAAGATGTATTTCCTGGAATTCTAGTGAGAAGCCGTGACCAATGGAGTTCAACCGTGTTTGTTGTTAGGAAGTGACTCACTGAAGATAATAGTCGACAGTGGTTCAATTTCGTGAATTGGTTGAAATTAGACATTAGCACCATCGGGTGTCAGTTCAATGGTCTAGAGGCTAAACGTTCGGGTGCGAGATCGAAGGTCCTTGGCTCGAATTCCACGGGTGGGATCATGGATGCGCACTGCTGGGAAGTCCCACGTTAGAACAAAACGGCCTTCCAATGTTTCCAGGTTTTCAATGATGGTTTAGCTTTAATCAACTCATGAATTTAACTAGTAAAATCATAATTTTTTAACATCTATGCATACATATGAATCTTTTTTTTGCATATTAACTAATTATCCTTCCAAATTTCAGAACTTTGACAATAAGACGATAGATAATAAATTTTATTGTAAATATAGATTGGTGAAATATCAAAACTTAGTGGCATTATAACTATTCTTTACTGTGATAAATTACAGGTCATTATTATAAATTGTTATGAAAATGGTTTCATTTGAAGTTTTTGATTAGAAACTAACTTTAATTAGACAATGACTGAGAACGCAGAGAGATATTAGATTATGATTTCGTCTTTGTATGAGACTTCTTTACAGCACAATTAAATCTCATAATAAGTACAACACAATTTTTCACAGTCCCTCATCGTGTTTCACGTGATCTATATTAATGAGCATTAGTTTATTAAGGATATAATGCAAGAATTTGGTTGAATGATCCAAGCAGTGTCAAAATACAAAGTTTTATTAAATTCTATGGATAGATTGTGTAATTCATTATGATCACAAGTGATCTATGAAGGATTTTATAATATTTTATTCTCTTCAAGGAAATGCAGATCAAGGTTTTGCAGCGACAAATCATTCAGGTACACAAATTAATCTATGGGGTCAAATGCCAGGTTTGAATTGGGATATACGTACACCGAATTCAAGTAATATTTCTGGTTCATATCCAATGCTTAATAATAATACAATACCATATTGGTCTACACAACCATCAATAAATATGGAAAATTTTGTAAGTCCACAACAATTAAGCGCAATAGCAAATCATCTTACACAAGTAAGTAAAAAAAAGAAGAAAACTAAGGTGTTTATCATTATTATTCTTAGTAAATCTGTTTTGAATAGGTTACTATAGTTTCCTTATAGATATTGATTGTTTACATGAATTTTGATAAAGAAAACGTAAACAGAACTTGTGAGCGGATAGTAAACCAGATTAGAATTCATATAATAAAACGGAATATTGAATTAAAGAGATAATGTTAAAATGGGAATAAAAAATTGTACAAAATTTCAGAAAAGAAGTAGGCATTATTTCAAACAATTAACAGAGTCGAACTGCTGAGGAGTCTCATACTAGGACGAAACGGCCATTCAGTGCTTCCAGATTTTCCATGGTGGTCTAACTTTAATCGACTCATGAACTCAACTATTAAATTAACAGAATGTTTTAAAAAAATGAGACTTAGTTATTACCCTAATAAATTACTTTAGTTTGTCAAATGTGCCAATCTATTTAACATTGAGTTAAAGTATAAATACGGAGAGACTATAATTTGTGGACAACTTTTGATCAACTCTGAGGTGACCTTGAGAATATTCACCCATTGACTTAGGTTAAAAGAGGATTGTAAATTAATGTGAGGAGTGAGGATTAGGATTCAAAGAGCTAGAGTTTTCAATAACTGACAGTGCTGTATAGTCATATGGATGAATGGATTTTTCACCAGAATTCAAGATTTACTAGCTCACATCTGATTGGTTTGTCCATAGGTTATAGTCTTGAACATTCAATGTCATATTCACTGATAAAAGCAATTACTCTAGTTTTCAGTTTAACAGTAAATAAAATACTGTTCATTTAGCGAACTGATTGTCTTGAACTATAAAGACAAGTGACATAAATTGTATTATTTATGCAAGGAAACTATTATCTTTTACCATAGCCGATTAAAATTACTGGATACACTGACTTCATTACTGTTCTAGTTACATAATTGATAAATCACTCAACATTTTCTTCCATTCCCAAACATCTAGTCAAAACTCTAAATGGCCAGATAAGTTTTCTCAAATTCTTTCATTATTATTATTATTATTATTATTATTATTGTTATTGCTATTATTTATTTATATTATTATTATATTATTATTATTATATATTATTATTATTATTATTATTATTATTATTATTATTATTATTATTATTATTATTATTCTTATTATTATTATTATTATTATTATTATTATTATTATTATTATTATTATTATTATTATTATTATTATTATTATTATTATTATTATTATTATTATTATTATTATTATTATTATTATTATTATTATAACTTACATGATTAATTGTGAAACATGAGACCACAATTTACCCCAAATAATAAATCTCAATAAATACATAACTACGACATCTATAAGGAGCTGAGTAACAGATTTATCATTAACTGGTTGTAATTTATAAATAATAAAAGAAAGCAACAATTAATGAGTTCAATGACGAATGATTATTATTGAGACTATAAAAAACTGCTGTTGACAAACATTCGTCATGAATTTAAAAACTTATCCCTTTCCAAGGGAGTAATTATCCAAGTTTCATATCCACGTTTTGTTGCATCTTCTTAACACAAATATTCCTTAATACATATACAGCATTTTTTCTTCAGTTGTTTAGTAAAACAATAAACACTAGACTGAAGTTTATGGCTCATAAAACTTTAGATCTGATAATTGTTTAATATTTTGGTATGAATTTAAGCAAACAGAATATAAAAGAATGCTGTGTAACAGTTTGTATAATGAATAAACTTTGTTGTTGGTTATAGTCAATATGAGGTCTGACTAGAAAGTTCATTGGTTCATGTTACTTGACCTCATATCAGGATAGTATTTAAAAAAACAAGAGGTGAATAAATGATTGTTGGGGTCGTTAGACTTCCAGAACTCACTTGGGAAAAAACCTAATTTTGTAATTTTATTTAGACAATTTGAATCTCTTGTCACCTTCATGTCGTATTTCCCACTGGGAAATATCTCAAATGCTATTGGTCCGTTGCGTCTTTTAGTATAGTATTTGGTAATTCTCCCCAAGGACGTTTTTGCATTGTATATATACGTTTTGAATTGTGCTTGTTGTTATCGCTCGTTTCTGGCTGTTTTGCAGAATATACTTCCCATTCCAAGCTTAGATTTCTCCCTCTAGTTAGCGGGACTGGGACTCATCAACAAGCTAGCTTACTGGTCTTCGATCACTGAGTCTTTGTTCTCGTTCGCAGATTAAGTGAACTCGTGATAGTTTCAAACGTGGCAATAATATTATTAACTCGAATGAAAAGCAAAATAATATGAAATACAGTACAATTCAACCATATCCAGTATGAGACAAGGATTATCAGTAAGAATGGGTGACTGTCGCTTGATATAGCGAACTAACTAAAGTTAAAAACTATAAGCTATTAAATCTCAGCTCATTAGTTTAAAGGTTAAGCTCTCGCTGGGACATGAAGATCCTGTATTCCACCCCTCGCGTGGTCGTGGATGTTCTGCTATTGAGTCCGGAACTTGGATGAGACTGGTGTCTAGATTTTATTTGTTATCTATAGTTGCCAAGCTACAATCAGTTGGTGATGTAAAAGTTCAAATGAAAGATGCAGATTAAAAGAAACAGATAAGATAAAATAATATCAATGTATGGAATGACACTAAACATGAAATCTGATAGAAACTAATTAATGAAACTGCAGCACTCTATCGACAGCATTACTGTATTCCTAATGATCTATCATTTCAGGTAGGTTGATTGGAGACTAACAAATGTCAATTTTAGGTTCGGGAATGAATTTAAAATAGCATGTAGTTGTTTCTCATATATATTCAACATTAGAAATAGTGCCTCTTCTACGGAGGGATGGTGTTAAAAGCAATCGGTTCCAATGAAGCGCACTCCTAATAGATTGTTGATGATGGTGGTTAGGTTTGCATAGTTACTGCGCCAATATTGTAAATATGGGCACGCATGAAGAGGTACATCCTCCTTTGCTTTAACAATTGACCCATGATTTTATTACTGCTTAAAAATTGCTACATGTGTTATGGTGATGACTTAGGTGATACGTCTTAGATAGTTCAAAGTACCCAATTGAGATAAACTTAAGTTTTTATTTTAACCTTTTTATTTCATGTATACCCATAAGATTTCTTATTTCTTTTGTTTAAAATTTCAAATCGAAAGCCATTTAATATATTTCGTTTGTGACTCCAGGTGGAATCCAAGGCTTATGTTTCTTTCTGTTTGGATCCTTCCTGTGAATTTACTTGTGTCCATGTGTAAATATTGGCATTGAGAGTCGAATAAAGCATCTACTACTCCAGACTTCAATGCTTTATCCACTACTTTCCAAAATCAAGTTAATCACTAAATTATTCATTGACTGTTAAGGTTCTAGTAAGCATTTCCTTGCAAGCACAAATAAATCACTGTGAATTTATATTGAATTGAAATACCCAAATGAGAAAGTGTACGACATAATAAGCAAAAATGAATAGTAGCTGGCAGTGAAACCCAGGACGCGCGTTTTGTCCCATTTGGGACTCGTCAGCTGGATGTAACTACATCACAGAGTTGATGTTCACTCCGAGACTCAAACCCAGTACCGTTCGCTTCAAACACTATCGCATTATCCACTCAGCTACTGATTCTTGTTAGCCACTTGCTTGTGCAATGGGGTAAAGTTGAAATTCACTTGGTATTGTTTACTTGGATCTTCCCATTGATGTTTATCACTGCAATCGATCAGTCTCTTAAAGGAATATGTGCACACTTTGGGTATTGCAACTATCTATCTTTGCTTATAATGCTAGTAAATTAAGGTAATATCGAGGCAATACACAAAGTATGCACATATGCCAATAGGAGATTGATCTATTGCAGTTCTAAACACCAATAGGAAGATTCAAGTAAATAATACCAAGTGGATATCATAAGTTTTAACATAATATGTTTTAGTCAACATGAAATGTTAATCTCCATCCAGTTTACTTAATTCATTTCTCTAGTGTATTGATCAAACACGTCATATGACTGTGACAGAAGTTCGAGAACTTATGAAACAAGTAACAGAGAAAATGACACCAAAACAAAATGATTCTGTTAATTCTATAAATCAATCATTATCAACAATAAGTCAAGGAATGGGTAACATAAATGAACAAATTGAACATGTAAAATATCATTTAATTGAATACATAAAACGAGATAAGGTATTTGCAGGACTTTTATCACAAGCTAAAATTGGTAATGTAAGTGGTTGAATTTATTATATTATTATATTACATTATATTATATTGAAAAGATAATCACTATAAGTTCATATTACTAAATATACATTTTGATGTCACGGGTTAAAACAAGATTCTTGTATTATGTTAGGGCCTTTGTGAACGAGCTATCATTATATAGGTGGTTACCTAATTTATAGATCAAGTATTACTCTAACTTACCTGTATAGGACCAATGATCTTTAGTAGCCAGTATTTCAGTGATGTTCTTTTGATCAAGAGATCAATAGTTTGATAACTTGACTATACAGTTTGTTAGCTGGATATAAATTAGATTAAAGCATGTTCCGTGCGGAATTATGTTGGGGCACTGTTTGGTTATTACTTATCCAATTACAACTGGTGGGTACTTGGAGAAGACTCCAGAATCTTCTCATGTAAGAACTATTAATATGCTAATGTTGCTTTTATTGTGATTCTTACTTCAATCCAACTTTTTGATTTGAAATATAATTACGTTCCTGTTTAACCATGTTCTGATTTGGGGACTTGTCGAGTGAAGTAGTATCCAAGATTACCAAGCAATAAATGTAGGTGAGTCGAAATAAGAGAAACTATAAAACAGTTCAACCCATAACTTAAACTAATATGATAATAATTTAATGGTTGAGTTCATGAGCCAATTAAAGCTAGATCACCATGGAAAACTTGGAAGCACTGGACGGCCGTTTCGTACCAGTATGGGACTTTTCAGCAGTGTGCATTCAGACCATTATATACTCAACAGTAGCTTCAAGAGGTATTTCCTGGAGTTGTAGTGAGAAGCCGTGGCCAATGGAGTTCAGCCGTGTCTGTTCTGAGATATTAACTCACTGAAGACAATGGTAATGTGATAATAGACAAAAGTCTAGAGATCACACACCAACATAAATAAGAAACTATAATATGGGCATAATTATACCATAAGTGAAAAAGAACTAATTAGTTGGCTCATAATTAATTAACAATAACTCAGAACAACAGGTTATTCATCAAATTAGAATTTTACAACTAGGGCAAATAAGAGTACAATAATCCAAGTTTTTAATAACTATACGATGAAAATCTAAGGTTAACCGCAAATTTGCACTTTTAGAGCATTCGTCTTATTATAGAATAGTCTAAAGATGATGAAATAATATCTTCAATTAACAACCAATGTAATGATCATTTAGTTATTTTGTAGTTTTACATCATGGACAGGCTGAAAACCAGGAAGCACTAGGCAGCTGTTTCATCTTACTATGGAACTACTCAGTAGTACACATGCACGACACTGCTAAGAATTGAACCCAGGATATTTATGCCTCGCAGCAACCGCTTATTCTTCAGGTCATCGAGTCAATGTTTAATGACTTATGTTTTTAACTTCAGTCAACCATCATCTAATGCTGTTGGTGATTAAGTGTCTCACTACCGACATTATTGAACTCCAATAGCCATAACTTCTCGTCAAAACTTCAGGGATTACCCCTAAAAATTAGTTACTAGTGGAAATATGATTATTATTAGTACTGGGATTCGCGAGTTACAGCGATTGTTTAACTAAGGTCGATTCTTGATGCAAACTACAAACTTCAACATTCCTCACAAATCCCCCACCCATAAACCTTCATTGTTTACCTAAACTAATAGAATTTTACTTTGTAAATTCTGAGCTTTTATTTTTCTTACTACTAACCCCAATCCGATATTTCCATCACATTCACTGCTATTAATACCTCTCTTTATATGTTCATCTTGATTATGGTTTGGTGTCCTATTGATTTTTTGTATTTCGAAGTTATCCATTTTACTTTGTCTGACTTAAGTGATAATCCTATCCTACCTCTTTTTATTGATTATCTTCGATTGGGTGAATATCAATAATCCGTTGTCCATTATAATCTGAGTTTCTAAACAAATTATTTGCTAAACATTCTAAGATACTTTTGGAAACTGTATGTAATAAGGTCTCTCATAAATGACACATATTGTCATCTATTTTTTCATTCTCTCTCACACTCACACACACACACCTTTCAGGTAATCTCTGCAGATTTCGATGAAAATGAAGATAGCTACTTATTAACAATCCATCTTGATAAACCAATTAAAGCTAAAAAACCCCATAGAGATTCTCAAGATTCAGGAAAAAAATCAAATCAAAATAAATCAATGGGACCGCCTAAAACACCAACACCTAACAGACCAAGTTCCCTTAACAAAGAAAATATTCCTTATTCACCAGAAAAGGTTAGTTATTTGTTTGTAAGTCAATACGAAGGTAAAATAATAGAAGATATTGAAACCATATAACGTGTAATATCGTTTAAAAATATTTGTTCATGATGTGTTCAAAAAATGAACTAACTTAGTTTTCATGGCTGCTAGTTAGGGATCTAAGTCAGCAGTTATTTTTCAAATGAGTTAAAAGTTCAATTCCGAGTTGGGGTTGTAAAACCTAATGGAGACCCCATTGCGATCCCATCCCTTTGTCTATATATTTCATTCTTGAAACTGAACTGGACATTAAAAGTACAGCGTAACAATAGTTCTTTCATATATATACGATTGTAAAGCTTGATAATAAATTCGTTGAAAAAAGTGATCCCTTCGCTGAACTTCGTGTTTTAATTTTAATGTTTAAATGGGAGTTATAAAATGTAATGTATCAAAATTACCTTGATGTATCGGCAAACTTAAAATGTTGATGTGAAATGAAACTTTGTGGTGAATGAATTTTTCCACTAGTAGTTTGATTTTAAATACTTAAATTCGGATCAAAAGTGGGTATTCATAATGTTGTTGGATTTAACAATTAAAGAATAGCAACGGATCATTCAGAAAAGTATTCAGCGATGAATACGTGTAATTACCATTTTTTAAATCATGAACTGCGCTTAGCTAGACAGACATTAAGAACCAGAGGACTCCCCAGCAGTGCGCACCCACGATCCCAGTCCCTAAGTCAGTGAACACCATTGAGTGCGGGCTTAACGATCTAGAGGTTAAGGATTCGGTTTCCCGCGCACATCTGAGGAGTCTCCTCCTAGGATAAAATAACTGTCCAATGCTTCCTGGCAGTCAACAGTGATCTGTCTAGGATTAGTTCACAATTTAAACTGTGAAAAATCGGGAAACTTGACAAAATTGCCTAAAACAAAGGAGGCTTTTCCAGTGTTTCCCAATCCGTTTTGTACTAAAAATATCATCATTGCATAATTGTTCTCTTTGATTGAGTATAATAGCATCATTTATCAGTGAAACTGATACAGAATTTATGACCAATCATCTTGACTTAAGGTGTTCTGATTAGAGATTTAAAGAAATCGAATTTACGTGGTGTATTAACGGTCTAAAAATAGAGTAACTGAAGTAAAGAGCTTATACTTAGTGAAGTATCAGAGCAATAAGAGGTAATTACTACGACTTCCTGGAATGAAAATTCTCCAGCTATAGGTCAGTTTTTCTATTGATAAATTTTAATCCAATCATCTAAGAAGTTTTCGTTAAGCATTTTCAAGAACTATTCTTATCTAGATCATAAATTAAGCTAAAAGAATGTTGTTTTTATTTGTGAATCTTTTTTAATCATGTAGACAAGTCAAAAAGACGATAATACTGAAGATACTAAGTCGGGTTCTGTTGATATATCTGCACATGATCAGTACCGTGATGTGGAAGAATATCCAGTAGGTTTTTGTTAAATATAATGTATTAATTCATATATTTCAAAGGTAAATTTCATCAAGGACTATTATTTGTCGGAGAATTATTAAAAGCTAGGAATCTTTATACATCCATGCCATTCTAATTTGAAGTACTTCGACAGTTTGAATTTATAAACATTCAAAGAGTGTAACCATATGACATTTAAGTTTCACATTGAACAAGGTACCAATAGACCACTGCTTTATGGTTCAATGGTTCACAAATCCAACTTCATTCTATTCATGAGATAGCGCGATTACTAATTCGTGTTATCGACACTAACCGTTCCGGTCTCAAAGTCATAAATCCCACAGACCACAGATTCTAATCAAAGGTTTGGATAATCTTTTTAGAAAATAGTCACTAGTAAGAATACGACTATTTTTTTAAATAAAGGTTCTTTGCAAAAATATTTATTCAGTTTAACAACAGTTTTTATTTACATATATACTATTCTCATGAAATATTTTTACTTACCAAATAACAATAGTTTACTTCCTGAACATCAATGGTTGTTGTGATTCATCGTCATCTACATGATTTTTTAATGTCTGAGATGGTGGAGAAAATTTGTAGCTCAGGTGGATGATTTTGGTGGAGTTTTGTTCTCTGAGCTGGATGCTTTGGTCTTGGAGCTTTCATCGTTCTTCTGAACGACATCATCAGTACAAACTTCAGGTAGAAGTGAAGTGTTCGAATTTCTCCACATGTGGTTCACAGCTTGTCTTGTAGACCTCGATGCTGACTGGTTCTAGTTGACCTTAAACCCGTCATTGTTTACTTCTTCGTTTTGGTTGTATCTTCTATTGGTTTGATTCTTGGTTCTATGTCTGTCCATAATTCTCCTGATCAGTTGATAGTTTGGATCAATTTCAATGTGCTTGTTGATTGCTGATTGACCTGAGTGCCAAGCTTCTAAAAATTTTCTGGTGTTTTTGTAATTTCCTCTATCCGCATTTTTCCAGTCGAATGTGTGTCCGTAGTTGTCCACGTGCTTTGATATAAGTGAGGACATGTCATAACGTTTGACTGCTAATTAATGTTCATACAGGCGAAGATGAAGAGGGCGTCCGCTTTGTCCAATGTAATGTTTTTCGTAGTCTTAATGTCTGATAATCAAATGTTTAGATGTTTAAATAACAATTTGTTCTTTATTCAATATGGATTTCTATATTTTCATTTGATTAGCTCGAACCAACTTTAAAACCATCAGCTAATTTTGATGTTGATAAAGATTGTGAACAATTACATCAAGCTATGGCTGGAATGGGAACTAATGAAAAATCATTAATTGAAGTGATGGGTCATCGATCTTCTGAACAACGAGTAACTATAACACAAAAATATAAATCAATGTATGGTAAAGATTTAACCTCGAAATTTAAGTCAGAATTAAGTGGAAGTTTTTATGATTGTATGGAAGCTTTATGTTATTCACCAGTTGAATTTGATGCTCGTGAACTGCGTAGATCAGTGAAAGGAGCTGGTACGGATGAAGATGCTTTAATTGAAATTTTATGCTCTAGAACAAATGCACAAATTAAGCAAATTAAAGAGACTTATTCTAAAAGTAAGTGATTTATATATAATTTCATATTCTTTATTCATAATAAAATTCATTCATTCTCAACGTTTAACTTATCAATAGTTTAGATCATGAGTCAATTGAAGCTAGACAACCATGGAAAACTTGCAAGCACTGGATGGACGTTTCGTCCTATTGTGTGACTCCTTAGCATAATATCATGAACTACTATTTGATCTATTAGACTGTCACCAAAATTAAGGCATAATTTAACTTCCGTTTACTAAACCCCTGGTATTTTATGCATTATAATAAAGAAAATTAACATCAGTAGCCTGTTTTCTACACAAAATGAAAATATCTGTTATGATTTCCTTCGAAAAGTTTGAACACTCTTGAATTATATTAGTAATTATTATGATGAAACATCGTTAAAGAGAAAAATGTTTATTTGTTTTGTGGTATGTGCTACTGATGCCGACAGATATAAGTAGTGTGTATCATCAATCGAAAATGAAATGTCTGGCGGTAGAAGGTTAAGAAGATCAGAGATTGATTGATGTAGGATCGAAAGAACAATGAAGTCTAAGATGATTGATTGACATTTGCAAAAGGAACATTCAAGTTTGAGACAGTTGATTGACATTTTGTAAATGAATTATTTACTGTATGGTTCTCAGATTTTAGTGAGATGTTCTGTAATTTTGTATTCAAATACATCCGATTATCCCCATTTGTGTTCTCGTTCACTATAGTATGATTTAGAAAATGGCTTTCGTCACTAAGAAGTACTGTACTGACATGTCATTCTAATATATAATCCCTTAACAGTTCACATCCATCTATGATTGAACTCAATAACTTCAGGCCTCATAATGAGAGTGTTATATTTAAACTATATGGTTGTGACGAAGTGGCTCACATTTTCAAATATAATCAATTTTTGATAAGGATCATGAATCGTTTGATGTTAGACCATCACTAAAAATCTGGAAGCACTGAACCACCACTTATCTTTTTTGCTTCATGTAGCATTCAGAGATGTTAATAATGAGTCATTCATCTTTTGACTAACTCATCGTAATACTGAAGCAAGTATAATAAATTAGCCATCAAAGAGTGATGTTATAACTTGTGGCCCTGTTAATATATAACGTAATGATATCGCCACGTAGAGAACTGTGAATTATCGACCGGACCAATCACACATAAAACACGTACGAGCAATCTACAGTTTTTATCGGTCATTCTTCCTGTCTATTCCTGCCTGTTAAATCCAGAATACCAATTTCAGCCTCCGCGATATCAATCATGTATTTATATATATATATATATATATATATATATATATATATATATATATCGTATATGGTTCATAAATAGTTCTCAAGAGTCACCATTCATTATTCTCATCGGTATATAACAAGTAATCAATTGTATTCCATCTAGTATACAATGGTGATGGTAGCAATTTCTTCCTTCACTGATAAAATGTCGCTTGACACTGTAAACAGTATACGACATTTGATTGTGATCGATAGTTATTTAATGTCATCAAGAACAGTATTTAATTAACACGGAAGACCAAACAGCATGATATATATACTGTATATTAACTTGTAGTGTCAGTTATTATGTTAAGCCCAAATAATTTATTCTTGAGTCATATTTTGACCTTGTCAATTATTCGCTTATCAGTCTTGACTGTTTTTATATGAGCGTATATTTGTGTACACTTCATATCCCATGTCTCATCACATGTCTGTAGTTTATTTTGTCTACCTATAAATATTGAGTAACGCCTGGCTAAAAATGAACTGGCTTACCAGCCATCTCTACTGCGCGTCATTTTGCTTTGTTCTATTACATTCATTTTACATACAAAATAGATGTATTCAAAAGGCCATTCTCATTAATTGACTGATCTAAATTCCATTATTGACTAACGTGATTTAAGTCGATGATTGTATACGAGGGTAGGTGATAACAAACATTCATACAATCTAAATGGAGTCATATCCACTGGCCACTAAAAAGCTACATACTACTGATAGTGTATATTAAACATTGAAACTTTACCAAATGGAACTATCTAAAAATGTAGCCTCTAATCAAAGTTAATTTTAGCCTTCATAATAAAATATCCATCAAATTTCTTTCATGTAACTGATTCCTAAGATCTTTTTTTAATTATTTTTATTGAATTTTATTCTCTTCATCAGTATTCCCTAATCGTGATTTAGAGAATGATGTAAAAAGTGATACATCACGTCATTTTAAACGTGTATGTATTGCTCTATTACAAGGTGATAGAGATGAATCATTAAAAGTAGATATGGAACTTGTTCGAAAAGATGCAGAAAATTTATATAGAGCAGGTGAACAAAAATTAGGGACAGATGAATCAAGGTAAGTTGCATTTTTTAAAAAAAAAATAGTTTGTTTGATTTTGATAAAATAAGAATTTCTCAAGTCGGTTAGTGTGTATTGTAGTGAAATTAAGCGAGATAGATTGGATAGTCAATAATTCTACTGTTTTATGTATTCTCTATCAGTAATTCTGTAGAATAATCTGAAAAAACTGGGTGAGTCTAGGTATATTTACGTACTTGTGCAAATATATCATCTCAAGGTCAAGGAGTTGGTGAGGAATGATAAGACGCGCTACTAAGGGAATTCGATTATTAGATGGTGGTTGGAGGTAGTCGACAGGCAACCCTGGACCCGGGTTTCGTGCTACTTGGCACTCGTCAGCAAGGTGTACCTGTAATCTTGAGGGAACTGACCACATTGCAACATGATCGACAGCGTTCGATCTGCACTAATAAGGACTAGACACGCATGACATTGATCACCACCCAGTGACCAATCAATTGTGAAATTCGATTATATTTGTTGACAAGTTCTACGCCGACATTTCCTTGATTAGATCATATATATATATATATATATATATATATATATATATATATATATATATATAATTCGTGAACCTAATAATCCGTTTTCGCAAATTACAGCTTTCCAATTATTTTTCAGTTTCTTCAATCGGATAGCTGATTATGAGAAAGTACAAGAAGCATGTGTATTTGAGTCGGATGTCACGGGACGTCATGTCATAACCTAACACTTGTCTATGTTGTTGAATGACTACAGACTGGTCAGTGTGAACTAAGTTACCAATTGAGACGATTAATGGCCTATGGTTTAAAAACATTTATATTCAGATTTTATATAGTATCTTAGGGTACAAATATTTACACTGAATAGATTGATAATGGTGAATTGAGGAACAGTTAATATGTCTAACTGATGTTACGGCGTATTTAAATACCGATCCGGATTGTTGTTATACAAGGAATATCTAGAGGTTAGCTCAACTACAGTACTTGGATGAGAATAGTTCTTAACGTATTTACAACTATGTAAAATGTATTTCCAGGAAACAAATTACTTGCTGCATGCGATGAACTCAAACAATAAGTGCTTCTTGAAAAATGTTGGATAATGGCCAGCAGTGGGATCAGGGACGCGCGTTTCATCTTTCTTGAGACTTGTTAGGTGGATATACCAGCACCCCAGTATTCATATCCTTCTCGAGGCTCGAATCTAGTACCTTTCATTCCAAACTCCAATATGTTATCCGCTAAGCTACTGGGTCTGAGTATCTATTAGTTTGTGCATCAGGATGAATTTAGACCCATTTGTAATGATTATATGAATCCTCTCTCTGATGTTATGGACTGCAATTAATCAGTCTCTTTTGCATATGGATATGCTGTGCAGATTGCATTGATATTGCCATTAAGTCACAAGCACTTTTTAGGCAGAGTTGGATAGTGATTCATACGAAAAAACTTATATGATTCCAACCACTACATTAAATTTCTCGCCTTTTGTCTTAGATCTAATGTTTTGACTTTTCTGAAAGTGTAATTTGATGTAATGTTCGACAATTAAGCATATGTTACTGAGGCTGCCGTTTATGATGATATATTCATATGGGCATTCAAAGTTTGATACCATACAAAGTTCACCAATACTATTCAGGTAAATGTATATATACGTTCTGTTTTAAACAGAAATGGATGGTGGCTAGCAATGGGATCCAGGACACGCGTTTCGTCCTATTTGGGACTCATCAGCCGGGTGTACTTGCCTACCAGAGTTGATGTTCACTCTGAGACTCCAACCGCGTGCCGTTCGTTTTAAACGCTATCGTGTAATCCACTTAACTACTGAGTCCTAATAGCCACTTGCTTGTGCAATGGGGTCAAGTTTAAATTCACTTGGTATTGTTTACTTGAATCTTCCCATTGTTGTTTATGACTGAAATTGATCAATCTCTTACTGACATATATCCATTCTGTACAGACTGTACTAAGTAATAGAATACAAAATCGACTGTAGTGTCATGTTTCTGTTTTGATTTCAAATAGTTTTAAATGTTAAATGTACTTTACTGAATCATTGTCTACATTACATCTATCAATTTACTCTTATATTTAAACCTCATTTTTGAATCAAGTATGGATAGTGGCTAGCAGCAATGGGATGCCAACATGAGACCGATCAATCGCAGTCCATAATTACAATGCGAAGATATAAGTAAAACAACAAGTGAATCGAATTTTTGAATGTTCTCTCTATTAAATAGTTGATAAGAGAATAATTTGTTAGTTTAACACTAGATCATTATTAATCAATTTGAATAGAATCATCAATTTATTTTATTTACATCATTATAGGTTTGTTCAAATATTGGTCTCACGGTCATTTGCTCATTTACGTTTATTATTCGAAGAATATTCAACTATTGGTAAAAAGAATATTGAAGATACTTTAAAGTCAGAAATGCATGGTGATACACTTCGAGCATTTTTATCTATCGGTTAGTATTATAAATGTTTCCTATTGTGTATACTTAATATTTTTTTGTTTGAGATCATGAACCGATTGGTGTTAGACCACCACTGAATACCTGGAAGCACTGGATGGCCGTTTCGTCCTATTGTGGGACTCTTTAGCCCTGTGCATCCGCGATCCCACTAGCGGGATCCGAACCCAGGGCCTTCACTCTCGCGCGCAAACGCCTAATCTACTGGACCACTGAGCCGGCATCCAATGATGTTAATGTCTAACCTAAACCAATCCACGAAATTGTGCTACCATCTTCCATTGTACTGAGGTAGATACCTGTCGCTATCCGACACGAATTAGCTCCACTGGTCACGGCCGTCTAATGCTTCCAGGTTATTCAGTGGTGGTCTAACATCAATCGGTTCATGATCTCAATCAAAAATTTAATAATCTCCACAACCCCTATACTGGTATACTTAATAGTTGGATAATACGAAAGAATAATTTAATGAATCAATTTGTTAATATGAGTTATCTATACATTGTCAGTCATTATAACCTTTAAATTTCTTTCCATAAATAATCATAACCATTTATTATTATTATTATTATTAGAAGCTTTATTCAACATTATATTTTTGGTACAACATAGAATTCTCAGCATAAAGTATTTCAACAAGTTTCCTTTTCTTATACCTTGATCGATTGTGACGATAAATTTTGAATGATGACCAGTTAGATGTTAGGAGTTCGGTAATCCACATTTGATTAATGTTCATTCGTTTCAATGCATATTGCCGGCCACCATGATGTCGCTGATTGTACCTTTTTGTATCCCGTATAGCGAAAAGTTGTAAACTTTTCATAAACGCGCTGTGCGCACAATAGACATAGTGATGTGCTAAAACAAACAACAAAACAGATAACTTGATGAAATATCTAGATCGGAGGGACAGGTAGCCCAGATATTCAAGCAGGCCGCCGGATATTTATAAATTTTAACTCATATTCAATGAACAAACTTTTAGTTAATCACAAAAAAACTATTTGAGCATAGAGGATCATAAATGTGTATTACATGAAATAGTTTCAGTGTTTGAGTTTAGTTTAATAATAATGAGTTCATGTTATACTTACTGACTTACACCTGTTCCTCCACGTGGTGAAGCATAGATCTCTCACCTGGAATCTATCGAACTTTATTCTGAGCAATCCTTTCCAGTTAATAATCATTCTTCTGATGTCCAATTCCGATTTCCGACCTAGTGTATTCTTTAGTCTTCCTCTTTTCCGTTTCCATTCAGAATTTCAAGTTAGCGCTTACCTCGTGATGCAGTTTGATAATTTCTTCAATGTGTGTCCTTTCCACTTTCATCGTCTTTTCCTAAATTCTCCTTCAGTTGCAATCTGGTTTGTTCTCTCACACAGTAGGCTGTTTCTGAAGGTATCCGGTCAACAGACATTGAGTATCTTGCGTGGACAATTGATTGGAAATATCTGTACATTTTTGATGATGATTGTAATAGTTCTCCAAGTTTCAGCTCCGTACAGTAGAACTGTTTTGACGTTTGTATTGAAGATTGTGACTTCGGTATTGGTTAAAAATTGTTTTGAGTTCCATATGTTCTTCAATTGTAGGAATGACATCCTTGCATTACCAAGCTTTGGATTTACGTCCGCATCAGATCCTTCTTCCTCATCAATGATGCATACCATGTACATGAAAGATTGCGCCTCTTCCAGAGCTTCTCTAGCAAGTATGATTCGGCTGGTGTTCTCCGTTTTGTTTGAGGATCTTGCTTTTCCTCTTTTGTATGTTGAGGCAGAGACTGCTGCTACACTGTTTGTCTTGACCGACATTTGTTGATGTGTATGGAATAGAAGGGCTAGGTGATCTGCGGAGTCCAAATCGTCAAATTGCATTCAAGCTGTCTATTGTATTCCATGCTTTCCCTCAAATATCTAAGTTTTCATAATCCAGTCGACCAGTTCAAGTTTTGTCAGGGATTTATAACCAAACATCATAATTATTTGATAATTTATTTCAAATTCATTCGTTGAGATTTTACAAATGCATTCTTCCTCTTTAATGTCTTACATCAACTCGGCGCATGAATACTGTGAAATTGTTCGTTAAAGTTTAGACCAAACTTTTTATGTACTATTATGTCACTTATTATAGTGTCTGTTACTGTGTTAAGCCCACATAAGTTATTCTAGCTTTCGGACAGACCAGCTTATTCATTCTTTTTGAGTCACATTTTGACTATGTTAATTATTCCCTTATAAACCCTGACTGTTTCTATGTTATCGTTTGTGTGGATATTTCTTATATTACTCATCACATACCTGCCGCTTATTTTGTTTGACTACAAATATCGATTAACGTTTGATTAAACCGAGCTGGCTCACACGCTTTCTCCATCGCGCATCATTTCCCTCCGCTCGTCCAATCTCATTCGCTCTTCACTCTTTGTTTCGTCTGCCTAATAGCTTGTTCAAATCAATGAGTACATGAAATATACATATTAAAAATCACTTCTCGTATTTGACTTATTTAATTCCGGTATTCACTAACGCGGATTAAGTCGATAATTATACAGGAGGATAGCCGACATGTGTTTTTCAATAATATTCATACGATCCACTAAAGTCGTAAGCCCGTCCATAGCATTATCCTATCTGACTGACATCAAAATGAAGGGCCCCACTGAATCATAAAATATAATTTTGAAAATATCACCCAGTAACCTCACAGATGATAATTGTTGTTGATTTCTATACACCCCTAAAATAAGTTTTTTACTTGGAGAACTGTATTATAATAACTTAGATTCTTTGATACATAGTATTGTGGTGTGAGCTACTTATATTCACATAAGTAGTATACAACGATAGTCAGGAATAAAATGTATTTCAGTAGAAAATCGAGAAGGAAAGAATGGGAACGGAAAGTAATTGGTATGAAAATGTAGGAACAATGAAATCTGAGACGATGGATTGATATTTGTAAAAGGAACAGTCAAGTTTGAGACAATTGATTGATATTTTGCAAATTAACCATTTACAGTATGATTCTCAGATTTTATTAAAATGTTCTGTAATTTTGTGTTCAATTACATTTAGTTGTATCAGAAGGGGTTTTGTGGAGATTGTAGTGATTTCAGTTGTTAAGATCATGAATCGATTGTCCCCCACTCGTGTTCTTGTTCACTACAGTATCATTTAATAAATGATTATCCATATGCATAGACAAATTTTCTTTCAATGACATTAACCATGAATATCATATTTTAAGGCTTCAATAACTAGATTAATATTCACTTGGTGTTGTTTAACTTGTATCTTCCTATCGTTATTTAGAACTGCAATCGGTCAGTCTCATGTTGACAATATGTGCATCCTATGCGGAATGCCTCGATATAGCCTTAAGTGAACATCAACTCTTCGATTCAGGTACATCCAGCTGACGAGTCCCAAACAGGACGAAACGCGCGTCCTAGATCTTATTGCTATCTACTGTTCATCATTGCTTAACTAGATTAATACTTTAGTCTATTGTATATTTAAATGAATCATTCAAAAACTTTATTTATTTTCCTTCTTATTTTTATATTCTAGTTTCTTGTATTAAAAATAAACCGAAATATTTTGCTGAGAAATTAGAAAAATCAATGAAACGATTAGGAACTGATAATAGAACACTTATACGTATTATTGTATCACGTTGTGAAGTTGATTTAGGCATAATTAAAAAAGAATTCTCAAGTTTAACTGGTAAAACATTAGAATCTTATATACATGTAAGTAATAAATATATTTTTGTGAAGTTTGTCAGTTTTAAATTCACTTGTTGTTTTATTTGTATCTTGAACGTTAACTTTGGGATGCAGGTACATCCAGCTGATGAGTCCCAAGCAGGACGAAACGTGCGTCTTGGAATACACTGCTAGCTACTATTCATCTTTGTCAGTTCTGTTTTTAAATTCCGATTGCATTTACCTAATATTATGGTAGTAGTTTAAATTCACTTGGTATTGTTTACTTGTATCTTCTTATCATCGCACAAGTGAGTGTCTAACAGGACTCAGTAGTTAAGTGGATAAAGCGACGACGTTTGAATCGAACGATATCGGATTAAAGCCTCGGGGTGAACATGCATTTGATGTGTCTCAGATTGGACAAATTTCGTGTCCTGGATTCCAATACTAGCTACCATCTATCTTTGCTTTTTATAGTAGTTTGATGACAAATAGTATTTTAATTTCAACTATGTTTTTCTTAAATGTTTTGGATTAAAACTATAGTGGCTGGCACTTTATGTTAAGCCCACATAGGCTATTCGAGCTTCTGGGCAGATCAATTTATTCATTCTTCTCAAGCCATATCTCGATGTTGTTGATTATTCGCATATTATCCCTGTTTTTATCCATGTGTATATGTCTTAAATATTTATCCTGTTCATTATGTGTGTAACTTATTTCTGGTTTGACTATAAAGATTGAGAGTAAGCGTTCGCGAGACTAAAGGTTTTTTGTTCGAGTCACGCGTGCGGGATCGTGATTATGCAATTCTGGGGAGTCCCGTACTGAGACAAAGCGAAAGTCGAATGCTTCTAGGTTTTTAGTGGTGGTCTAGCTTACATCGACTCATGAATTTTACTGTTATATATATTGAGTCAAACATGATCAAGTTGGGCTGGCTCACTCTCCTTCTCCATTGTGCATCATACCGTTTCTCTTCGCTCTCTCTTTTATTCCTTTGCTTCGTTTCCCTAATTGTCTGTTCAAATCAATAAGTGTACGAAATATACGTATTCATATTTCATTCTCGTAGTTGACTTATTTCTGTTGTTTACTAACGCATTTTAATTCTATGGTTACATACGAGGGTAATCAGGATGCATATTTGGATAACAATCATCATACTGTCTAACTGGAGTCAGATATAGGCACCACTAAAAAGATGAATAATTTAGCTGTTTATAAACCTGTTAGTAGATTGCTACCAATTTCAAGAAGTTTTTTGATAATTACAGCCAGTTACTAAATAAAAATCAATCTCGTGCTGTGTAGTTATCGGTACCAATTTAATTCTACTAGGTTAGTTTACAAGATCGACAACTAACTAATTTAAACATTTCCTTACCAAGGAAACTCAATTAAAGTTCTATCTTATCTTGGTGTTGACATTTCCGACTTTTGTACAAGGTGATATCTATTTAAATCCCATGGTAAAGCTGAGAATATCCGATACTAAAAATAAACCTTAGTGACGAGTGTTAACAAGTGCAAGACCTAGGTTCACATTTTACTGCCGATTGCCTTCAACTCCCTAATTATAGTTTTTATGGATAATGCCGTAAGAGATAACTATAACTTATAATATTTTGTCTTGTATAAATAAAGTTACAGCTTAATTTATGAGTACTTGATAATTCATTTTAAGTGGACTCTAGATTCGGTTCATAAGCTCTTCTAGTAACCCTCCGGGCTAAATTTACACAGCGATTTGAACACGAGAGAAAAGTTACGAAATATGGAAGAAACGCTTTACTCCAAAGGTTCGTTTATGTACAGAAAATCTAGGGATTTTATTTTAGATGGCCTTGGGTTTCCGGAATGTTCTAGAACGCCACTCAACATAGTAGCAGTATGGGTAATTATCCAATGTGACTTTTTACTTTGTAGATGTTTCTGACAAAACTTCCAGTGAATGTTGATTGGATAAGTTGTTTCTAAGTGTTTTCAGAGCCTTTTTTTGACTTTTTGAGAAGTTTTCTGGATCTCCCTAACAGTACTCTAATGTATAAGCATCTCATATAATGTTGTTGATGTAAATATGAGTCTTTTTAATGAAATGAAGTTGAATCAATAAAAAATGTTAAGTAAATCATCTGTAAAACTGAGATAATTACAAAACCAATTTATTTAAAATTAATAACACTTGAAGCTTTTAATTATTATTTTTACTATCTGTGATCCATAAAATGATGTGAATCGTGTTTCAAATGAGTAAACCTTCAGTGAGTAAATTCCTTTTATTAAAATATTCATATCTCTAAACTGAGATGTTATTGTTTACAAACATATAGGAGGTGTACGCTTTTATAATTGTAAAGTCAGTGCCAAAATTATTAGACTATTACTTAATTTTATAGTTGAATTCATGAGTCAGTTGAAGCTAGATCACCATGGGAAACTTGGAAGCACTGGATGGCCGTTTCCTACTAGTATGAGACTCCCCAGCAATGCACATTCACGATCCCGCCCCACGAGATTCGAACTCAGGACATCACAGTCTCGCGAGTGATTGCTTAATATTTAGACTGCTAAGCTGGCCGGTATGCAATGGTGTTAATGTCTAACTTCAACTAATCCACGAAATTACTCAGTGTTCATTATGAACTGACATCGACTTAATAATCACTAAAAAAAAGCACCACTATACAACTATTGTTATTTTAATTCGAAGCCTCACAACACTATGTACCCTTTAATCTTATCAGTAATCAAAAACAAAAGTCTCCGAGTTTTTGTGATGAGCATATTTCCAGTTTTAAATCGAGTATTTGGAAGGAATAGTAAAATAAAGCTGAAAAATTGGACAGCTACTCGTTAATTAACCAGTTTATAGCTTCTATTATAATTTATCTTTTTTGATGTATTCAGTGTTGTTACTATTTTATATTGTTCTTCAATTACTTTCAATTAACCATACAATTTATTACTAAACTCTGGATTAAAAATATCCCATTTATGTATAATAGTCAAAAATTATTATAATTGATACATATTAATCCTGTGTTCTACCTATTGAATTCTGTCAGTGGATTTATTTAACTAATGAAAGTACGTCATATCACTTATCTGGTTATTTAATGTTCTAAAGGCAGGTTTAAAAGAATAGGGATTCACGTGACTTGTGATCCAACACAATAACTGAAACAGTGGAATTATTGTCGGTGTTAGATTTAATAAAACAACATTATAGATTTTTAAAAAAAACAAGACTTTTTCCTATTTATGCTGGAACAATGATCAAAAAGAATTTTTAATTTCCTTTATTTTCAGGATGAAACAAGCGGTGATTTACGTCTAATACTATTAGCTTTGGTAGGAGCATAAAACTTGGTTGTTGTTACCACAATGAGATAATCCTATCTTTTTACATCTACCAAACAAAAGGCTGTGATTAATTTTTCCTTCAATGTATTCATCAACTTAATCTGTGATCTAAAAAGAAACCGTAAATCAATATAAATTTTCTTTTTTCGAAAATTTTATTTTAATATCACACCAGGGGTTTTACAAAAAAACTTATATTATTTTAACTACTTATATTTTAATTAGTAGTAGTTTATTATCCGAACAATTTATTTTGTCAAATCTTTCAAATAATTGCTGTCGATAAAAATCTCAAACAATGTAAAAATAAATGTCAACTTATCCATCTTTTTATTCTCTAAATTATCGATTCATATATTTTCGGTTGTGATTTTACTGAAATAAAAGAATTGTGTTGAATTTGACGCTGAAGGAATATCAGTAATGCATATAGTCTATCAAAAGAATGAAGTTCCGTTTCACCTGTCAGTATACAACACCATCATATCGTGCATTAAAAAAAACATAAATATAAAGAGAATTAAGGCTTGGAGTGAAGTCTCCAGTAAAAGAAACTTTACTTTTATGTATTACAGGGTTGCCTGACCTGTCGTATGCCCTGATGGTGCTCTCGTAACTTTCGGGTTACCTGGTCTGCCAAGGGTGATGAGATAGTGCATGATGCTATTGTTGTGTGCTAGGTTCAAAGAGAATTGTATTTTATATGCATGCAAATCCGTCCCGTTATTGTTCCTATATATTACAGTTATTTATTAAAAGACTGAAAGAATTCCCAAAAATCTTGTATAGTGCATGCGTTCTAAATAAGCAGATGACAGTATAAAATCTTTGACGAATATAATGTTATCACATCATCTAATATTGCTTTTAGTTATAAGATAACGACTAATGATAAAACGATTGAATATAAAATAGATGCTTGTACTTTACAGCAAACATTAACGATACTAATTACATAACTTCAAAAGTTATATTGAATCCCAAAACATCATCTAATTAACTTTATTAGTCATATTACATAATCTATATTAGGCTCATATCATCAGTGACTAATGAAATAACCAGGTAAGTTAAATAATAGACTAGTTTGCAGATTTCAATAACTTTATGGTTAACTACACTTATCATAGTGAATTCAGTCACTAGTACAACGCTTACTATTGCCACTAGATTTTTATTTGTCAGCAAAACTATAAATTATGGACAAAGCAATCAGATTCAAGATAGCGGGTCTTTTATTTTGGCACGAGATTTATTCATCCATTTGACTAAATACCATTTTAGCTTTATAGGTAATGTCACTTTATGGGAGAAAACCTTAACTTTCATTCTTAACCCCATCTCCTAACTTCTAGAACCCGATTCTAATTTCTCACACTAATTTCTAACCCTCTTTATATCCTATTAGGTAAGTGAGTTTTCTCAAGACCACTATATTGTCGTTCAAAAGTCATACATAAGTCATAGTCTCTCTGATTAACTGATTTAAGAATTGCTTTTTGAATAATTTACCGATAGTATCACCATAGACTAGATCTTTTGACATATGAATATACAGTTGTTAAAGTTTGACGAAGTTGCTTGAATTTTTACAATCCGATAAATATTAAATAAATACTGAAGATTATATGTACTTTTTTAAATTATCAGTTTAATGTACTCGCTAAGTGATATACATTTCCTGGGTTCAATTTCTGAAGGGAGTAGTAGATGTCTACTGTCGAAGTGTTCTATACTCGAATGAAATAGCTTTTTTCAGTGCTCCTTGATTTATATCGATTGTCTAATTGAAGTCAATACAAACTATTGTTCCCGTTATAACTGTGACTTCGGATTAGACGGCAGCGAATTATCGATTGGACCGAAGACGCGTAAACACGTAAGAACAGCCTAGAGTTCTGATTGGTCCCGCTTCCCTGTCTAGCCTAGCCAGTTGAGTCCAGAACGGAAGTCTCAGCCTCTGAGATATGAATCATTATATTTTAAGCATAATGAGTTTATATACCAAACAAATCGACCACAACGTACCAATAAAATATGAAGCAACATCTGTACAAGAATTAGCCAGATGTGGCTATGAATGAGGGAAGTAGCGATTAACAGACAGGGAATAATTCATGAATGGTAAATCGTATAATAATGGTTCATAGGTCAAAACAAAACTCATAATAAGAGGGGCATGAATATGAACAGTCTAGTTACGAAACAATTATACGATAAAAATACACTCATAATATTGGTCCATAAATGGATCCCAAAAATTACCACTCATTCTTAACGGGATACAACAGTTCCATTATCTTAAATACAATTTACTAAACAATAATCTTCCTTCTTTTCATTCATTTCACTATCATTATTATTTGGATTTTAAGCCACATGATTTTACTTTCAGCCTGATTTCTTTAATTTTTACTTGTTGGTCATCCATTTAAAAAAAATGAAATATTCATGTTCTTTAAGAAAAAAAAAGAAGAAGAAGTCAGGTCTAATTTCTTAGTGTATTAAAGCTAAACATCATAACAAGTTAAGAGTATTTAATAATGTAATATATGTCCAAATTTTAGTTTAAACAGATGGTAAACTACATAAGAATACATAAATTGTATGTCTCATATATACTTTCTTAGATTTTAATCTGTAAATGTGTTTTAGATTAAGTGTAAATTGTTTCATTGTTATTTTTAAGCAATAATTAATATCTACATCATGAGATATTGTACTCGACCGTAGCTACTACCATAATGTGTCGATCGGGCTTGCCTATCGTGATGACCCAACCAAGCTCTTTTGGTTGGAACATATGTTCCTATAGGTTGTACCATGCCAAGCAGGTCGGTTTGAGAACTGCAAGACTAATAGCAGCAACTCAAGATCTGAGGGTGAAGTCGTACTGCTGACTGTAGAGGGGTGTAACAGCAGTAAGGTGTTTCCCTCGGACAACTAGCATCTGCAGCGGTGCTGCCTTCTCACAAGGAAGGAAGGGGTTAGAAAAGGTTGACCCTAAAACATGTCAAGCCTCAGCTTACCTCACAGATTTCCGTCTTCGGCCGTAAGGCCCTCTAAAGAACGGAACCAACACGTTTAAAACCACCCACAAAAAGGCTGTACGCGACCAGCCTCAAGCAGTTGTCCCTTGGGCTCTACGGTCACGCTCCCAATTCGTTAAGACCAACTCTAACTCATCCTCCTTTTCAGCTTCCCCAAGAAATACCCTTCCACTGTATAGGCAGCCGGGAAGTGACATCAATCCTCATACCCGTAACAGCACACGAAACTGATATATTAATTTTGTCAAGCCAGAACGAACATTGATGCAGAATAATATGGATTCACTATATTTCGTGGTTTCTCATCAGCTGCTTACAACCAAATATATATTAGATATAGTGTGAAAAAATCGACCTAAGTGAATGTAAAGAACTGGAATGACAATTCACAATCCCGCATGGGGTACTCAAACCCAGAGCCTCCAGTCTCGCGCGCGAACACTTAACCTACTAGGCCACTGAGCTGGCCGGCATCCAACGGTGTTAATGTCTAGCCTCAACCAGTCCACGAAATTGCACGACTATCTTCCGTTGTACTGAGGTAGAAACCTGTCTCTACCCGACATGGATTAGCTCTACTGGTCACGGCTTCTCACTAGAACTCCGAGAATTCCCTCACGAAGCTAGTCACTAGTGGGCACTTGTTATTTATCAGTATAGAGATATTAAGCTATTAATTGAGATCATGAACCGATTGACGTTAGACCACCAGTGAGAACCTGGAAGCACTGGATGGCCGTTTCGTTCTATTGTGGGACTCCTCAGCATTGTGCGAGCGGGATCATGGATGGATCATTTCCACAACTCTATACTGAAAATAAACAATAATAATAAAGACAAAAAATTGGATTACCAGCGTAGTAATAGGTTTATTACTGTTTTTGAATACATAGATCAGGTTTCAGTTTTTTCATCTCAATCGCTTCAGCAAACCCAAGAGAAGCAGTATTTCTTTGTCTGCGAATAATTTAAAAAGCTTGAGGAATATTAATGGTATACCTAGTGTCAAGTAAATGCCGATTTGTTGCAATGTTAAAAGCCCTTGTCCCTCGCAGTCTCAATTTCTTTAGAACATGAGGAATATAATGAATTAATGTTATTCTGCATCGATGTTCATTCTGGCTTTATTTAAATTCATGAAGCGAACTAATTACATGAAATCAGTTTTGACTAGTCCCAAATAGGACGAAACGCGCGTCCTGGATTCCACTGTTAGCCACTATCCATCATTGCTTACAAATAGCTTATGAATTAAGGTAATATCGAGGCATACGCACAGTGTGCACATATGCCAATAACAGACTGATCAATTGCAGTCTTAAACCTCAATGGGAAGATACAAGCCAAACTATACCAAGTGAATTCAATTTTCTAGTTATTTCTATCTTAAAGCATAAATTAGATTTGGCATCTATAAAAAAATATTACGCAACATCATCTATGAAAATGAATCCCATAAAGTAATCCTATAATTTATACAATATCAATTCGTGGCTAAATAATCAATCACTAAAGTTAAATACTCTTTGTTAGATTCTATCCAACGTATTAGGTAAACAATACTGAAGAGTTTCTGACTAGAGTAAATAAGATATTTGTTGGTTCTCTTAGTTTTATTGATTTTTTTTCCAGTGCTTATCTGTTTACAAAGAAGTTTATTTTCAATGACTAAATGGTAAACAATATTTTGTTGCCTATTTCTTACTATTGATCTAATTCTATTGATTTCATGTGATCATCTTAATCTTATCAATAACTAGTCTGTACAGAATGACTATTCGAACCTGTAAACAATGTTAACTTAGTCAAGATTATACTTATGCTTTATTAACAGTTATCACATAACAAGAAGTCTAAGGTTCAAAGTGTCCTATCAACTATTTCCAAATAGCCAACATAGTTTTATTTTTAATTACTAGTATAGGAGTTGCGGAGATTATTAAGTTTTTGATTGAGATCATGAACCGATTGATGTTAGACCACCTTTGGAAACCTGGAAGCACTGAACAGCCGTTTCGTCCTATTGTGGGGCTCCTCAGCAGTGCGTATACACGATCCCGCTCGCGGGATTAACTGAAATTTACTTAGTAACTAATATAAGATTTATTAAAACCAAATGATAGATCAGTTGTTTTTATATTTCACAAAGTAAATAGACTGAATCAAAAATAAATAAAACTTTGTCCAGCTTAACAAGTAGGATAATTTAATTAAATGATGTAATTTTATTTTTTTTAATTTTAAAAATACAACACTCATTTATTCTCATTGGTTGAATATGATTCCATAAGTTTACACTTACTTACTTACGCCTGTTACTCCTAATGGAGCATAGGCCGCCGACTCCGCCTGGAGTCCTTCCGGGGGCTACTGCCGGTCTCAAGCCCGAATAAAGAAGCAGGGTTGGGCATGGGGTTAGCGACCTTAACCCGTATAAAACTAACTCGCT